GGTCTTGAAGAAGAGATCTATCAAGTTTGAGCCAGAGTTACCTAGAAGAAAACAAGCAGCAATTGACAGGTTGGGGTTTGGCCTTCTGAACAAAGTTGCCATGCTTTTCCCGTCTGTCTTTTGGGGTGACGAGTTAGACACGTTTGGATGCCTCAACGAGAGTAGCATCAACCGAGGAGAGTTCTTTCTGTTCTATGCCTACCATACAGTCTCTGGTGGCCCTGCCTTGGTTGCCTTAGTTGCTGGGGAAGCTGCTCAACGATTTGAGTGCACAGAACCATCTGTTTTACTTCACCGTGTTTTGAAAAAACTCAGAGGTAATATTTGATAATGTCATCAACCTTTTGCTACTCCCAAGTTCTGGCTATAACAATGTTTTTGACATATTTGCAGGCATATATGGTCCTAAAGGTGTTGTTGTGCCTGACCCAATACAGACGGTTTGCACTAGATGGGGAAGTGATCCTTTGTCATATGGGTCATATTCTCATGTAAGGGTTGGTTCATCTGGCGTGGACTACGACATTCTTGCTGAAAGTGTTAGTAACCGTCTGTTCTTTGCTGGTGAGGCCACGACAAGGCAACATCCAGCCACAATGCACGGTGCCTACTTAAGCGGTTTAAGAGAAGCCTCGCAGATTCTCCATGTTGCGAATTATTTTCGCACTAATCCAAAGAAACCTGTTCAAAGATACAGTGGAGTTAACATGAATGTTCTTGAAGATCTGTTCAAAAGACCCGACATTGCAACTGGGAAGTTGTCATTTGTCTTTAACCCATTAACCGAGGATCTGAAATCGTTTGGATTAGTCAGAGTTTGTTTTGACAACTTTGAAGACGATCCAACGAATCGTCTTCAGCTTTACAGTATTCTTTCCCGGGAGCAAGCTAACAAGATCCAAGAATTGGACGAAAGTAGTAATGAGAGCAAACTGTCGTGTCTGATGAATACTCTTGGATTAAAGCTAATGGGGGCCAACTCAGTACTAGACACAGGTGGTGCGTTGATCAGTGTCATAGCTAACGCACGCAGAGGCAGAAGCAGGACCCATGTTGTTGCAGGGCAATGCATTATCCCTTAAACCAGCTGCATCTTAATTGACCAATCGGCCCCAAAAGGTTTCTTGTTATTGTTTTTGGAGTATTCGGTGACTCATTTTTGCAGAGAAATCTGAACATGTCAAGAGAGAAGTTCAGATTCTCCACTAACCATCACATAGATTCTTCTATTTTCCAATTTTTTTTTTTGTTGTCATTTTTGGGGGTATTACTTTTACGTTTCTCAAACTGCGCAATTTATACAAACAATGAAATAGAGAATCAATGTTTTCTATGTATGGATGTTAAGAGCGTACATATATATAGCTAACACTAGAACAGAAATCTGAAATCTAGGAAAAATCTACAACAAACTTTGCCTACCTCTTATGGAACTGAAAACAACCTCCGAATATGTACACTTCCTCTGGATTATGCTGCAATTAGTGAATCAGATGTAAACCAACTCTAACCAGCAACAACCGAAACCAACCAAACTCCAGTAGTTTGGACTTTGGGCTCTTAAGATAAAAATGGAAGCTTCGGGATCAAGTAGAGAGTCTCTCAAGGAACTTTAGGTTTTGTTAATAGATGGAATCAGAGCATCATCGCTAGCTAGAGCGTCCAAACCTAATTTTGCTGAAGCTTGAGAGAATGACGACAATAGCCGATCTTCCAGGCGATTTGGTAGAGGAGATACTCTCAAGGGTTCCGATGACATCTCTGAGGGCTATACGATCTACTTGCAAAAAGTGGAACTCTTTATCGAAAAATCAAATTTTTGGTAAAAAAGCAACAGCAGCAAGGAAGCAGTTTATGGGGTTTATGATGAAGGATTCAAGGCTTTGTTCAATTGAATTCGATCTCCAAGGAATCCGAAACGAAGACGGCAACTTCGTTGATCCATCTATAAAGCAAGTAAGTATACTTAACCAAGTCGAGGTATCTAATGTCTTTCACTGCGACGGTTTATTGCTATGCGTCCTTGAGGACAATTCGAGGCTCTTGGTATGGAATCCGTATTTGGGGCAAACCAGGTGGATCCAACCCAGAAACACTTTCCTGAGCCATGACAGGTATGCTCTCGGATATGACAAGAACCGTAACCACAAAATCTTGAGGATTTTCTATGTGATCGACCGCGTTTCTGGTTTCGAAATCTACGATTTTAGCTCTAATTCATGGAAGGTTCTTCATGTCACTCCTGACTGGGAAATAATGCCTCCTCGGCGGGGTGTGTCTTTGAAGGGAAATACTTATTTTCCTGCTCAAAAGAGAACAATAGTGGGTGTAGGAACAAGAAGGATAATAAAGAGTGAAGATTTTTTAGTCTGCTTTGATTTTACTAGAGAGAGATTTGGACCGCTTCTCCCTCTGCCGTTTCACTCTTACAATGTTAGACTTTTTGTGTATCTATCTTGTGTTAGAGACGATCAGCTCGCTGTGTTATATCAACGCTTGGACACATATGATGGGACAATAGAGTTTTTTGTTACAGATAAGATTGATCTCAATGCTGTGTCTTGGAGCATGTTTTTGAAACAAGTCATTGGTTTTACGGTTAAACCTTGTGCTGGGAGTTTTTTCATCGACCAAGAGAAGAAAGTCGCCGTGGTTTTCGATCTAGATGTATATAAAAAGGTCAAGGAATGTCGCTATCAAACAGCTCACATCATTGGACAAGATGGATACTTGAAATCTGTGAATATCGGACAAGCTCGGGATCTCGGGAGAACAACCGGCGTTCCTTCATCTGTTGTCAAGGGATTTTGTTTCCCACTTGTGTGCTCTTCTTATGTTCCAAGCTTAGTGCAATTGCAAATCAACCAACCTCAGGGCATAAGGAACGAAAGCAATGATTAATTACTTTCCATGTATAATATACTTTATATTGTTTCTTTCATCATCTTCTTTTGAACAACTCTTAGTTTGTGTTTTGCTATTTATCATGTAATAAAGAATTTGGCTTTTGAATGTTTTAGCCTCTTTGTCACTCGTGTACTAGCTGTTAGATGTAATTAGTGTACTCAACTAGTGTCTTTTGTTTGCGGAAGAAGTGTCATCATGATTTGGTTGGTAAGACTGATTCTCTTCACTCCAAAATTGTTTTTTTGGTCTTCCTTTTACAGAGAAGAACTCATGATCTATTGTAGTTAAGCAAAAATGTAATACTCACTAGTCACTACAACATGTTATTGTGACAGGAAATTTGCAGCTAACAAGCAAGTTACTGGGCCAAACTAATTGCAGAAAATGCTGAGAACAATTATTTGGGCTTACATGTGGTCTATTGATTAGTGTCATCAAGTTAGTGGGCCCAAACTAATGTGATAGTGATACAAAGTAAAATCTTAATATTTACAGAAGCATCCTCGTATTTTTATAATATCTATAATTTCGCCCCATAAAACTTTTAGTTATCAACTTCAAGCTTGATTAATGGAAAGAGGAACCGTCAAACCTAATTTCTATTTTCAGCCTGAAAAGCTTTGATTGAGAAAAATGACGACGACGACGACGACAATGGCTAATCTTCCAGTAGTTTTGGTGGAGGATATACTCTCTAGGGTTCCGATGACATCTCTCAGAGCAATACGATTAACTTGCAAAACCTGGAACCGTTTATCGAAAAATCAGATCATCGGTAAAAAAGCAGCAACAAGGAATCAGTTTCTGGGTTTCATGTTGATAGATTTCACGATTTGTTCAATGAGATTCGATCTCCAACGAATCAGCAACAACGACGACGATGACGATGATGATTTCATTGATCAATCTGTCAAGGAAGTGAGTGAACTTTACGAATTCTCGATATCTCAAATCTTTCACTGCGACGGCTTGTTGCTTTGCGTCTTCAATAACACCAGCAGCAAGACGCTCATGGTGTGTAACATGTACTTGGGGCAAACTAGGATGGTTAAAGCCCGTCAATTGTTCGACAGATTCACTAAATCAGGTGATTATGCTTTTGGATACGATGATAGCGAAGAAAACCGTAACCACAAAATCTTGAGAAACGAAACTAATGGTGGTGGTTATGAGATTTACGATTTTAGATCCGATTCATGGAGGGTTCTTGATGTTGCTCCCGACGGAGATACAAATTTTGGTGAAAAACTAAGCTTGTCTTTGAAGGGAAATGCTTACTTTTTTGCTACAGAGGAATATGATGAGACACTTGTAGTTGAGGGAGAAACACTGTATTCAAGGGAGAGTCGACTTATGTTACTCTGTTTTGATTTCACTAGTGAGACATTTGGACAGCTTCTGACTCTGCCGTTTCACTCTCTTGGTGATCTAGTTGTTGATAGTAGTGTGGAGAGTTGGGCTCTATCTTGTGTTAGAGATGAGAAGCTCGCTGTGTTGTTTCAACACTATAAGACTATCAAGATTTGGGTTTCGACTGAGATCGAGCCCAATGCGGTGTCGTGGGATGAGTTTTTGGAAGTGGACTTGACGATGTTTGGTGGTATTCCGGGTGACTTTAGAGCTGGGAGCTTCTTTGTTGACGAGGAGAAGGAAGTCGCTGTAGTTTTCGATCAAGAGACCAAGAAGGATTGTGACCAAACAGCTTACATCATTGGAAAAGATGGATACTTCAAATCTGTGAATTTCGGCGATGATCCGCCAAGTAACCGTCTCCCACTTGTGTGCTCTTCTTACGTTCCAAGCCTTGTGCAGCTCGACAAGCAGGCCAAAGGGAAAATCAACAAGCAGGGCAAAAGGAAAGAAAGAGATTATTAGTTGCATCATCTTCTTTTGTTTCATTCCATTGTCTTTTATCTTCTTTTGAACAAATTAGTAACTTGTGTGTTGCTATTTTTATCATCTAAGTAAAGAACTCGGTGTTGTATATTTCAGCCTCTTTTCAAGTTCATGTCACTTGTTATATATTAGAGAGATGAGTGAAGAGAATCATTTAGTCTCTTTCTTTGTAGAAAAGCTTAATGATAAATTTTTGATGGAGTGAACACAATTTATTCATATCTGATGTGATGGTCAACCACTAAGTGCCACACAGAGACATATCCTTAAGGAAAACTAAAAACCCATAAACACCAACTTGTTAAGAAACGAGCCTGTTGCCATGTCATTGATCAACCAGCAATCTTGAGTAAAAAGTTGAAATTACATTAGTAAATAGACGTATAATCACAATCAAACACTGGATTTCACAAAGAGAGCTGTGTGAAGAGCAATTCCAACTCCTTATCTTGAGACAATGTTCTCTGTCACAACACAGAGAAACATATGTTAGTTTAATGCAGAGTTTCATATATAGTTATGTGAAGATAATGATGATTAACTTACTTGGACAGATAAAAGCTCGTTGATTTTGTTGAGAACCTTGAGACGATGAACTGCATAAACACTGTTTGATGGAAGTTTACCAACTCTTTTGATCTCTTCCTGAATCACACTCGATTTCTCATCACAATCCATCTCATTCCATCTTTCTCCCACACGATTACCTCTGCTTCCCATTTCGAAACTGATTCCTCAGCTGATTGGAAACTTCAATAAAGACATATACAATGAAAACGGAATCAGTTATTACAATTTACAAATATAAGGGCTCGAAAAATAACAACTTTGTGTTTGATCGAAACAGAACATAACAGAACAGAACAGAACAGAACCAGTGGTAAGAAAGTTTGAGTTTTTACATCAAGGGTTACGAATTCAGAGTTCAGCAGTTTCCGATTGCGAATTAAGTGAGCCGAGAAATGTCTTCGAACCCTAAAATTCGATTCCGGTCTTCTTATCAAATAATTTGGCTTTATTTTTTCTTTTGTTCAGTTATTTACTTAACCGACCCGTAACCCGACTAATAACCCGACCCATAAACCAAGCTCACAGAGAACCCTTAAGCCCTAAAAATCTCCGATCACATCTGAATTTGCTTCTTCCTCGTTTTTGATATTTCCTGGCAATGGCATCTTCAAGAGTGTTAGGCAGGTTCTCGTCTCGATTAAAGCCACTATGTCAAAATCTCAGCAACAAGAATGCTAATGTTTCATCACTCCCCTCTCCCATCAAATCTGCTTCACCTTCCTCAGCAACTACTTGTCGTCTCAATCGATCTTCAAGGTCCGTGTTTTGTATAAACTTCACTATCAATGGAGAAAAAAAACTTCCTTTTATCCTCACTTTCAATGGGTTTTGAATCTGAGTGATTCTGTGTCGATTACTTGCTTATAATTTGAAATCTGAATCAACAAAGTCAAAATCTTTCTAAGAAAATTACAATTTTGATGAACTTCTTTGATGTTTTTTTTCAGATTACCAGTGGAGTTGAGCTCGATGATACCTCTACATAGTGCTATAGCATCGTCTAGGCTAGTCTCAAGTTTGTCCATTGAATCCAAAATCTGGGCATTAGTTCCTCAAGGTCAGTTTTTGTTTTGATATTCATCTTTCTACTGGCCTAAGATTTGGAGCATTAGAATTACCATATGGCTTTACTTTACATATGTGTATCAATACTCAACACATTCTGTTGTTCCTCTGTATTGCAATTGTATCTTTTGTACTGTGTATATGGCGATAACTGTGATTATGCGTCAATTTGAATCCGATAGTTAGCTCCGCGAATAAGGATGTACATACAACAGAAGTATGTGATCATACAGCATTATCATTTGTGAATCTGATGAAGTTGAACCTTTTTATGTGTGTATGCATCTGAACCAATAAATCACACATTACTTCTAAGTTTGGTTTTGATATAGTTTTGTTGCTTAGTTCAGTATATTTACATGAATCTTTTCTTTGAAATTGCAGGTCTTTCATTGCCTTTATGACAGTTTTCTCTTCTCATCTTACAACAAGTTTCCAGGACGATAGAGACATAAACGAAAACTCGGATTGTATCGTTCTTATAAGCTTTTATTCACATCCAAAGGTCCTGTAGTTTAGATTCTATTATCTTGTGGTTTTGAGTTAATCAGAAACTGAGTAATCAATGTAATGTTGCAGGCAAGATCTTTCATCTTTGGAAATTTCTTTTTTTTCTCATGCAATTTCTTTAGCTTGACCATGAGTGACTAAAAGATCAATCAGCAGCCTTTAGATCTTCATAAAATATATGGAAATGCAATGATTTGATTTGGTTAAGACACATTTGTCCACTTGGCATCTTGAAATGGATGGTTACAACTTGCAAGAACCAATTGGATACTTGCTATGACAACTCCAACTCAATAGTGTCGTGTAACCAATAACCTTGACTAATTTGTAATTTCATCAATCTCAAGTCATGTTACTTACTATATGGTTTTTTGTTTGTTTTGTTTTCTCTCCTACAATTAAGCTCTTTGACGTACGCAATCTTCGGAGCCAGCCAACTCTTATATCAACCATTTACTCCACGTTGTCTCCAATAATTGGACGTTGAAACTTGAAACAACGTAAACGTATCTATGTAGTGGCTGGTGATTGTGTATTTACATATGTACATACATTCACCTTTCTCCTCTTTCACTTCATCACCTGCCTTGTGATGTCATGAATTCCGGCGAAATGGAACCTCGATTCAACGACCTTCAGATTGAATCTCAGGTTCATGAGTTGCTCGATTCTCCGGTTTGTACAAACCAGATGTCTTCTGCAATCTACCAGGTATGTATATCAGATCATATCATATTGATACTATTACAATAAGTAACACAGATCTTATCACAGTGTCCCAACGACCACACCGAAGAGCTCAACATTGAGAACCCTATGAAGAAACAGTACAGTTGTCCATACTCTGGATCCAAGTGTAATGTCACAGGAGATAATCAAATGCTGCTTCTGCATCTAAGGAATGATCACAATGTTGAAATGCATGATGGGCGTAGTTTCAGCCATAGATATGTTCATCATAATCCTAAACATCTTCATCATGCTACTTGTATGTTAACCGTAAGTTATATAACTCAGATTACTTATCTTGCTCTGTTTCTGCAACTTTGTGAATTATTAACCCACACCAAACCAATGCAGCTTCTCGATTGTTTTGGTCGACAATTCTGCTTATACTTCGAAGCATTTCACCTGAGGAAGACACCAATGTACATAGCCTTCTTGCAGTTTATGGGAGATGAAGAAGAAGCAATGAGCTTCAGCTATAGTTTGGAGGTCGGCGGCAATGGCAGAAAGCTGACATGGCAAGGCGTGCCGAGGAGCATTCGTGACAGTCACAAGACGGTTCGTGATAGTCAAGATGGCTTAATCATCACTCGCAAATTGGCTTCGTTCTTCTGTACCGACAACAACAACACCAAGGAACTAAAGTTGAAGGTTTCAGGCCGTGTATGGAGAGAACAGCCTATTTCGTTATGAATTAGGTCACACTATTGGACAGCTAAAGTTGTTATAGAATATTTGGTAACCAAAATATCTTTTCTTGATTTAAAAATTAAATAGCAATTTAGAGGGAAATGTGTAGCTAAACTGGTGATTATGGCTCAATCCTTCACAAGGGGAGAGAATAAACAACACAATCACCACATTTTTGCTTCACAATTCAACTGAAAAAAAAGCACAACAGAGCCTCTGAGAGGCCAGAGGGTTGGATATGGAATAGGAGCAGAGACTTAGAAACATCTTTCTCTCGTCCTTCAACATTTTTTACTAATAAGTCTCAAGATACAGTTCGGCCATAGCTTAATGATGCAAGATAGAGATTCTTTCCCCATTTTTCCTGCACAACAAAAATACACACGATATCAGGTATTGTTCATGGGAAGGGAGAAAAAGAGTTCAAGAGATTGATTAGTAATCTTTTTTAGCTGTTCTTCTCACCTTGACATGTGTGCTGGGGAATTGAGAGGTACGCAAAGTCTCTTGCGTCTCATCAACCAGTCTACGACGTGGGATGCTTAAGATGAGAGCAGCTTGATCAGTTGTTGCTGCTGTTGATGTGATTCTGAATCCACCATCCCAGCGCCTGTGGATGCCTTCACTTGGATACAGAAAATCAAGTTCCACAACCTGTAGAGAGATATAAGCAGAGACAGGAGAATTACTGGATCAAAAATCAACGCGGCAAATCCAAAAATTGAAGGAAACGGAAGAAAATCATCACATGAAGGCATCAATGTTGGTTGAAGTCTAACCTGTTCACTGTAGCCAGAATTGCGGGACATAACAACACCCCACCGGCTTCCAGCTGTTGCCATTGAGGTTACATGGAAGCCTTCTCTCCATTTCTTGTTTATCCACTTGAACGGGAATGAATCGCTTACTTTGTAAGACTGCTGTGTATACTGTGTACCTTCATAATCCATTTGAAAACCAAACATAGAATAAGCCCCAAATTCAGAGACTAGTAAAATACCATTCATGAAGAAAGCATTTAAAAGTATTCATGAAAAGTGTATATACCTTTTGACATGACAACTAAAGAGCTTCCATTGTTTGCACCAGCAATAGAACTAATGTAGTAGTTCTTCTCCCACTGCTCCATAATCCATTCCTGATCGAAAACAGAATTCACTCTCAGGTAAGATCATCTTGACAGAACACAGATATAAAAATAAATAACAGAGAAACATCGGACTACCTTGTGCAAGAATACAGGAGAGAGTTCATAGACTTGGTTGGTGAAGCCAGTTCCAGCATCCATTATCAATGCCCAGAGATTCGAACATGATGATACACAGCTTATCAACAAACCATCTGCAATACCTCTCTCAATATGCTGTGCCAGTCTTATATCAGCCACATTATAATGATACCTGGTTAAACAAGTAAATCGTCAGTCCAAAAATATTTTCACCGTAGGCACATTAAGGCCAGGAATCTAAGATTATAATAATCTAACCAAGAAAAAAAAAATTGAGACACAAATGCAGTCCCAGCCAGATACTTTGAATTCTCACTGGAGGCAGTAGACAGATCAAGTACATTACCAGTTAACTGACTGTATAATTAATTAACCATGAAATTTTTTACCTCTGCTTCATTGGTTGCCTGGCATTGTAAATCGATATCCATTGCGTTGCAGGGACTCCTAGACGGACTTTTTTCCTAGGGGCATCTTCTTCTTCTTCCCCAATGCTCAACCTACCTCGCTTCTGCCCAACTTGGAATATGATCTAACAAAAAAAAAAAAAAACAAGATGTTAAGCAACAACTCCAAGATGTACAAATAGGAACGAAAGGGAAAGATGTACAGCATGAAAACGTCACCTTTTGAGCACCCTCTGTGTTTATAGGCCTAATTGCAGGATTTTCGCCCAAGAGGTCTTGAAATAGAGATACTAACTTGCCATAGTTGGGTTCTTCATCAAATTTCATATTTACCACGATCTCAAGAAATTGCTTGAAAGGAGGGGGACAAAAACAACAAAGCATATCCGGCGATGTTGCCATCTTCTTTTTGCAAACAAGGAATGACTTGTTATCTCCCTGAAAATTGAGTAAGAGAAAGGATTAGCAGAGAAAGAATCATGCAAACAACATCATTCTACAAAACAAAACGATAGGTCTGCAGTACCTGATATCCTTGCCATGGCAATCTACCTCGGTGAAGAAAGATCAGTGTATATGCCAATGATTCGAGATCATCCCTTCTGCTAGCAGTTCTCCCCAAATGAGCATGCGCACTTGCGTATCTAACTGTCCCTCTACAAAAATTAAGAAGAGAAAGATTCAACAAAAAAAGTAAGAGTGAATATAAAAAAATTTATATTAGGTAACAGTAGAAAATATATTACCTAAACATATCAGGACGTTGATCATATTCAACATGTTGTCCGCTACCACCTTCTCTCCACTTTGTAGCTGAAAAGTTGGTTGAAAAAATGAGAAAGGTAAAGAAGAACCTAGCAAGAATAACAAAGAGAATGAAATCAACCAACCTAGTCCCAAATCAACAAGAAACAGTTTTTTCTCTTGAGACGTTGAAGGCTGGCCGAGTAAGAAATTTTCTGGCTTAACATCCCCATGCACATAACTGAAACCGAAGTAAAACATGACCTGTTAGGCTAGTTAATAGAGAGAAAACATGAACTTAAGGGGGGCCGAGACTCAAAACAGATATCAGAAGAAACCTCGGGCAACCAAGTTAAATACAAAAACAAAAATAAAGTTCAATTACAAACCCTTTTGCATGCATCTTTTCAAGAATGGAAAGTGATTCAACCGCAATGCAAGCTACCATTTCCGAGGACATTCTGCAAAGCAAAGGGGGGAAAGAATTGTTAGGGAAGTAATATTTCAATCAGTAAGGGATTTTTAAAAGCAAAATGTTACTCAGTACGGACTTATGTACCAAGTATCATTTTATAAAACAGGGAGCAACAACACATTTCAAGTCACGATTCCAAAAGAAACCAAATAAATTTTGGATATTCATGTATGGAAAACTACGCTAATTGAAAGAAGAGACAAGAGCTCCCCAAGGATGTGTAATGGAGACTCACGCTTGCCCTGAAGTATTCCATAAATCCCATAAGCTAGGCCCGAGCATGTCCATAACCTGAGGCCAATAAAAAAGAAGAGAGGATCTAACATCAATGATACAGATAGGAGAAAAGCAGAAATAGGAGAAAGGGGGAATCCAGTACCATGACATAATAGTCTCCTTGCCTCCCTTTAAAATGTACTCTAGGGACTCCATGGCTACCACCCAAGGTGCTGTTCACAAGAAAAGTAAAACGTTAATTTCACATTTCAAGTCAAGGAAGTACCCACAATCCAAGTAAAGGAATTTAAGAAACATTGAAAGAAAGACAGGAGAATCAAACACCCACTTGTAAACCTGCCACTCATGTGGAGGACCATAGTTGCAACCCTTACTGCTCCGATGCTCAAACTTTAGCGCAACCTATATAAGAAAGTGAAAATATAAGACACTGTAAGCATAATTAAGCTAACAGAAGTATATTTGCTGTGACAATCCACCACAGTAGTAAACGCAAACCGAGTTACATTACCTCCAAGATGCTAGCTCCTGCACTACGATCATTACCACCACTAATACGACGTCCCACAAATACTTGTCCAAACCCACCCTTCCCCAGCTTCCTCTCAACTTTATATAGTGGTGATCCTCCAACTTGGACCTGAATAGACACAGAATCGTTAGTCATTACCATAAACCAAAGGCAAGGCAAGGCAAAACAACACCAAAAGGTCCAAAGACTATGCATCGAGGAAATGGAAGAAGCAAAGAAATAAATCAATTATACCCTCTCAGGGAAAGGAGCAGTATTTCCTTCTTCTTCCTGAGCAGCCGCCTTGTTAGAGCCACCACTATCATTACCAATCGCCATATCTTTCTTCTCTTCTTCAACGGCTACCTCTTTACCCTTCTTTTTATCGTTATCGGTATCCTTAGACGGTACAATAACCGGAATCTCCTGAGGTATCTCTTTATCTTCCTCCTTTAATCTCCTCGCCGCTAATCTAGTCCTCGGCCTCTCCGCAACTCCTGTAACTCCGCCGGCTACCGGTTTCCTGGTTTTGCCGTTAGTCTTCCTCTGTTTCTTTTCTGTAGGTGTTTGCGGAAGCTGATTGGGAGCTACAGCGTCAGTAACACGGCCACGGCGGACTCCACGGCGAAGCTCCGGCATAGCTCAAACCCCATGCAATCGAGACGGGACACGAAGAGTCCGATCATTATAGTCCTCCAAAAACGAAGGCCTGGCTCATGTCGGATTTGGTAAGCGATTTGAAATATAATCGGAGATTCGATTTGCCGATGAAGATGGCGATTTAGGGTTACGACGGTTCAAGTTTGCGATGAGAAATACAAAATAAAAAAAAAGTTTATGGATGAAAATTCCCAAAATGGAGAGAGAGAAGAGAGGCGATGTGAAAAAGGATGTCTTTATGCCACGTCGGATATTATGTAAGAAGAAGAGCCAAAAAAATGGAAAATAAAAATTTAGGTAATAATAATGTGAATGACTTTTTTGAGTCACGATTGTCCGTGACACGCGATTAATTGGAAACAAACGTTTCGCGTTTTTGTTAAGAAATAAAATTTGATTTTTTTTTCTTACTATGGTTATATATGTTTACTATTTTGATCGACTTTTCTATTTCAAACAAAAAAGTAGGTAGGCTTAGCTAAATGTATTATTTAATTTCTCCGTTAAATATCAAAATTTCAAATAATGTATTCACTAATCAGTTGATAATTTTCAAATCATTTAACACGGAATAGAGAGCCATTGTGCCACTTAATTTGACCCAAATGGTCTATTACAACTACTTAAAAAAGAAAAAACTTTTTAGATGAAATCAAATCATTACAATAGAAAATACGTTATTAGATTTGGGAAAAGACAATAACACTCTCTGACTCTCATAACAATCACACCACAGAACAAGACATAACAAACAAACGCATTCGCAAAATGCAAAGGTTACATAAGTAATAAAATCATATGAACATGCCAAACTTAGTTATATCAGTAATGCAAGATATAACAATTATACTCGACAATGGCAACACCGGCTTTGGGATCGAACGACTTGGTGCGAGCCTCCACGTAACCTCTAGCAAACCGAAAGATTCCACTGCCTCCGACCACTGGCATTTCTCTAACCTTCGACATCACCACGTTCCGGCCAAGAATCGTGATCGTACTCCCGTTGTACTTCCCTGTAGTGAAAGCAAAGTTCATCACCATCAAGAAGCCAATCTCTCCTTGGGCTGCTGCTGCGTACATCCCTTGGGCTTGGCCCACCACAGTTGAATTACTTGGCACATCTAATGTCAGTGGATCGTCCATCATGGTGATCGCTCCGAATAAGGAAGATGAGTTCAAGACCGGCTGTTGGATCATGACGGAGCTAGGGTTTCTACCGTTTACGGAGTCGTGCCAATAAACTCGGAGGTGAGTGAGTTTCTCCTTTTTGTAAGGGCCAAGGTGTTTCCCGTTCATGGTTCTTCCCAAGTCTCCGGCGGAAGCAACGGCAGCGAAGATGAGGATTTGTGCGGCGACGATAAGGATGAGCTTAGTCATGTTGTTGGTATATGTGTATTATTTGTGGGTTTTGTGTCTGTAAATGGAGTTTTGTTCTATACATAACGAGTGTTTTTGTGTGTATATATAGAGAAGAAAAAGTCACGTTTTCTATATGTGATTAATTTCTCCATAGAATATGGTTTGATATCCATCGGATACCCTTGTGAGTTGTGACGATCAAACCATATTCATTAGTTGTGATCAAAACACACAATATTGGGATTTGTTAGATTCTTCTTTTAAAAGTGTGATAATTAAGACCAATGATGTATATTAATTAGTTCGTACTTTTTGATTTAAAGTATTATTTCCAAGGATTTTATAGGTTTGGTTTTTGAAGTGTAACTTAGTAACTCGATAATTCTTTTGTTTGTTCTTTACAATTTCTATAGCTTGGTCCAATTAGTTTTTTTTTTGCTTGATAACGGTTTCATTTCATTTAGATTCTAGAAAATTTAAAGGACGCAAATGAAACTACACTATGTTATCAACATTAGTATTGTGGTTTAACTGTAACACACTACAATTTAATTTGAGTAATTATAAGATGTATTTAGTTTGATGTTTGAGTTATAAGGTGTATTAGTGGGGAGTTTTTTCGATGATGTCTTATGTTCAAATATTAGCGAAGACATGTAAAATCAAAAAAAATAATTAAAATTAAAACACGTGTCTTTGCTAATGTTTAAATTATATATATTTTCAAATGTCGCTCAAACACTAGCTAGTAATTCAATTGACTTTCTTTTTTCTTTCTATTCTTATGATTTCTACATATCTCTGCATGGTTTATTCACACGGTCACACCATGCTTGAGTAGATCTCTCTTTTGCAATTTTATCAGCAAGTTCTTAAGTGATGACCAAAACACATTTAATTAAGACGACTTCGAGTTCAATTTTCTCTCATGCCGTGGCATCATCACGTGCATGGGTTGATGGGTCAGTAGAGGCACGTAAAAAGAATACAGATGTTAGTGGAGCAGAAGCAGAGGTCGTGAAACTTTTACATTCACTTTTTCCATCAATAATGTATGTATAAAGATAATTAACGCTGACGGAGCCGTTTAATTTGCTCTATGATATTTGCAACAATTTTTTTGTTTAGTTTGTGTAATTATATTAGGCGGAATCGTAATGTGGATATTTGTATGAATTTTGTTAGTTTATGTATTTGGGGTGGGATTCGTAGCCAATTTCATGTACTTTTATGGGGTTTTGTCTTTTATTTATATAAAAAAATTATTAATTGTTTTGACCGGAACAATGTTCTTGATTATAAACCACACGTGTTAAATGGTTTTTGGAACTGAAGAAAAGTGAGTGGGGTGTGGACGTATGACCTTACATACTTTTAAAAAAATCAAATCCTGAAAAGCAAAATAATGCATCACGTTACAGTAGTTACAACGAAGAAACTGCATGATTGACCCTATGTTAATTATCGAGTGAATTAGGAAACTTATAAGACGTAACTAAGAAATATTAATGCAACTATAAATTTCATCATATTTAGCTCTGATGGTATTACAATATAACCTTTATAAATTAATATTCGATAAATTAATACTTCGATAAATCAATATATTTTTTTGGTCTTAAATCTGGTTTTTGAGGTAATTAATATATCAATGAATTAAAAAAAAAAAACATAATTCCAACTGTATTAATTTATAGAGATTTTACTGTATTCTGGATTACTGCTAGACATTATATAGCCAGGTTACAAGCTTTGGTTAGTTAGTGAATGGACTAATCATCGTTGATTAATTGATCAGAGAGCCTTGTAAACGACATAAGTTATTAAGTTTATCAAAAGACAAAACAATTCCCTGAACGAATCGTCTGACCACACAATTAAGATTATAGTAAATATAAAATGTCTCTCTTATGTACTTAAATTAAATTATCGTTACACAGAGGACATATATATACTCTTGTTCTTTAATTTTATATATAATGATATCAGTAATGCAAGACATAACAATTGTATTCAACAGTGGCGTCTCCTGTCTTTGGATCGAACCACTTAGTCCTAGCCTCGACATAACCTCTAGCTAACCGGAAGACTCCACTTCCTCCGACCACCGGCATTTCCCTAACCTTCGAGAATACCGTGTTCCGGCCAAGAATTGTGATCGTACTCCCATTGTACTTCCCTGTCTTGAAAGCGAAATTCATCGCCATCAAGAAGCCTAGCTCACGTTGAGCCGCTCCGGCGTAAAAACCTTGGGCCTGGCCTACCACAGTCGAGTTAACGGGCACATCAGATGTTAGTGCGTTGTCCATCATTGTGATTGATCCGAAGGAGGTTGAGGAGTTTGAAACCGCCTTCTGAATCATGATGGCGGTAGGGTTTTGACCGCTTAAGATGTCGTGCCAATAGACTCGGAGATGGGTGAGTTTCTCCTTCTTGTGGAACCTTTTTGGGTTCAATTCTTTAGCAAAATCTCCAGCGGAGGCAACGGCGGTAAAGAGGAGGATTTGAGCGGCGAGGATGAGGATGAGGTTTGACATGTTTGATTACTTTATTATTTTATTACTTGTTGTTGTTGTTGTTGTTTCTCTCTTGTAATATGTTCTTTCTTGTTTTTAGTTCAGGTTAAAATGGGAGTGTATATATATAGATGTGGATGTCTGCTATAAATAACAAGTTTATATATAGATGTGACATGTGAGAATGAGTGTGAAAAAAGAAGAAATTAAGAAAGATAACGATTGTATTCATAGAAGAAAAAGCGTGTGCTGTTTAAGAAAAGATCTTCTAGGTTAATTAGAATATAGTTTCACGTGTGAACTTGTACTTGATTTTGTGGGAAGAAACTTGATAATTTATGATTTATTGATGCATGGTGGACGAAAGTATTATTAATTTTCTTATGATTTACAGTGAATGAACTAAATTTCAAAAATATTACACTAGATAAAGCTTACAATATAAACTACGTATAAGCAATCTGCATGAGCATGGTGGTACATATATAATTAATCACGAATTTACGCAATTGGTGATAATAACTTCATGAATGATATATACTTTTATCCAAATTTTCCCAATAATCACTTAATTATTTGGGTTTTGGCTTAGATGAATTACCAATAAAAATTTATGGGAAATTTCTTACCTAATGGCATACTCATTTCCATGGTTAGTCGGATGTTTCAACAAAATTTCGATATTTGATACTAAAACTATGAAAAGGAAAAGAAAAGCTATTTTTCTCATAAGTTTTTATATTCTTTGTAACTTCGAAGTCATTTCTTCATACTCAACTTTTTGATTTTGTTTTTCTTTTGAGACTTTTCCTTCTTTTTCCCTTAGCCAGCGTTTGAATTAGTATGTTAAATATCGTAGAGCGCGTTTATACAGTAGTTCGAAACCAAATTATTTAATTGAGTTAGGTTGGCTACCAACAACGTGGCAGGGTGTAATTGGTAGAATTATTTTATTTGTTGACTAGATTTTATTTGACCTTCCAAGTCTTATTTTGTCTGATAGGCTTAATAGAGTTGTATCTCGCAATCACCTACGTTACCTATACACATATGGGCCAATGATGTTCATTTAAAAGCCCATCATAATTTTATGAAGCCCATTAAGACATGATGTAGAAAAAAGGAAATCATAAGCCGACCTCGTAAAAAAAGGAAATTATCTATTTGTTACTTTTCCTTTTTTCTTCACGATAGGTAACTATTTAATAACGTTTTTTGCAGATGGATCTCAATTTCTCATCATCACTTTCTTCTTTATTCCTCTCGCTCTCGTTTTTTTCTTTCTTTCTCTTGGAGCGATTGAGAGTTTCTCTAAAGTTCATCATCACCAACGCGAGGTTTTGTTTTTCTAGTTCCTTCTTTTAAATTCGTTAAGAGTTTATGTATTTCATGATTTCTCTTTTGATACAATGTTTTTTAGGGTTCGAATGTTTTCAATTTCACAATTGTTCTTCTCGAAGTCGAACCCTCTTAAATTTTTTGAATTAAGGTAATCTGATTGATTGCCTCTTGCATATTAGGGTTTTCAAATTTGAAATCGAATTTCAATTTTCAGATTTTAAAAGCGTTGTTTTGTTTCAAATCAGGGTTTTTGTTTTAAGGATTTCAAATTAGGGTTTTAATTTCAAATCTGTTTTAACAATTTTGTTTGTTGCAAATAAGCTTTTTCAAAACTTTTGTTTTGGTTAAAAAACTTACCTTTTTCAAAACTTTTATCTGTTTTTTCGATTCTTAAGAACTCTGTTTTCAAATTTAGTTTTTTTTAAAAAAAGTTTTGTTTTTGTTTTGGTTTTCTTAAAACCCAAAAGAAAGGGATGACAACACTTATGATTGTTGTATGTCCGGTTTCTACTTGGGAAAATTGTCCCTTTATCGTCCGATGTTGCCTAAAACAAGCACGATCATGCTTGAAACCGAGATAAACCTTCTTAAGTAAGGGCTTCTCAAAAGTCTGTATCTTGCTGAGCTGGGACAGCATTGATACAATATTCAATTATCTGCTTTGCTGAGCTGGGACAGCAATATATTATTCAGTGATCTCTTATTAAGGGAGGAACAATTGTCCTTTTTATAAGGCTTGTATATGGGAGTTGCGAAATTCGAACTTTTAGTTCATATATCTGCTTAAAGATATGTATTGCTGAACTGGGACAGCAGTATAGATCACTCAATGATCTGCTTATTAAGGGAGACACAATTGTCCTTTTTATAGGGCTTGTTTATGGGAGTTGCGATATTCGAACTTATAGTTCATATTTCTGCTTAGAGATATGTATTACTGGACTGGGACAGTGATATAGATCATTCAATGATCTGCTTTTTTTAAGGGAGGAAAAATTGTCCTTTTATAGGGCTTGTTTATGGGAGTTGCGAGATTTGAACTTTTAGTTCATATATCTGCTTAAAGATATGTATTGCTGGACTGGGACAGTAATATAGATCATTCAATGATCTGCTTATTTATGGGAGGAAAAATTGTCCATTTATAGGGCATGTTTATGGGAGTTGCGAGATTTGAACTTTTAGTTCATATGTCTGCTTAAAGATATGTATTGCTGGACTGGGACAGTGATATAGATCATTCAATGATCTGCTTATTTTAAGGGAGGAACAATTGTCCTTATTACAGGGCTTGTTAATTGGAGGTGCGATATTAGAACTTTCAGTTCATATGTCTGCTTAAAGATATGTATTGCTGGACTGGGACAGTGATATAGATCATTCAATGATCTGCTTATTTTAAGGGAGGAACAATTGTCCTTATTACAGGGCTTGTTAATTGGAGGTGCGATATTAGAACTTTCAGTTCATATGTCTGCTTAAAGATATGTATTGCTGGACTGGGACAGTGATATAGATCATTCAATGATCTGCTTATTTTAAGGGAGGAACAATTGTCCTTATTACAGGGCTTGTTTATGGGAGTTGCAAGATTCGAACTTCCAGTTCATATATCTGCTTAAAGTTATGTATTGCTGGACTGGGACAGTGATATAGATCATTCAGTGATCTGCTTATTTTAAGGGAAGAGTAAATGTCTTTTTATAAGGCTTGAAAAAGAGATAAACGTCCTTGAGTAAGGCTTGTCAAAACTCTGTCCCCAAATTCTGTATCTTGTTGAGCTGGGACATCAATATATTATCCAATGATCTGCTTATTAAAGGAGGAACAAATGTCTGTATCTTGCTGAGCTGGGACAGCATTGATACAATATTCAATTATCTGCTTTAAGATACTTTGTTGTGCTGGGATAGCAATAATCATTTAATGATCTGCTTATTACAGGAGGAACAAAAGTCCTTTTATAAGGCTTGTTTATGAGAGTTGCGATATTCGAACTTTCAGTTCATATGTCTGCTTAAAGATATGTATTGCTGGACTGGGACAGCAGTATAGATCATTCAATGATCTGCTTATTAAGGGAGAAACAAATATCCTTTTGATAAGGCTTGTTTATGGGTGTTGCGATATTAGAAACGTTTCAATTCATTTGTCTGCTTAAAGATATGTGTTGCTGGACTGGGACAGCAATATAATTTTCAATGATCTGCACATTGATAAAGGAACACACGTATTTGCAAGGCTTGTCTAATGAAATTTCTGAGGTTGAGAAACTCAGTTACTTGGTAAAATTCTATCTTGTCGAGCTGGGGACATGATTGATAATTCAATATTTCTCGATAGGGAAATTCAATTATCTGCAAAAACTATATCTTGATGGGCATTGTCCCTTAGTCAGGCTTCTATAAGAGTGTCTGATGGAGAAGTTCAAGTGTCTGCTTAGACTCAATTATCTGCTTGAAGATATTTTGCTGGACTGGACAGCAATGTAATATTCAATGATCTGCATATAAAGAAAATAACAAATGTCCTAATTTATAAGGGCTGTGACATCATGATGACGATCAATGTTCTGCTTGAAGAATTTAATGGCTTCTATAACAATGTCTTATGGAGAAGTTCAAGTGTCTATTTAGACTCAATTATCTGCTTAAAGATATCTTGCTGAGCTGGGACAGCAATAGATTATTCAATGATCTGCTTATTGTAGGAGAAATAAAAATCCTTTTTATAAGGCTTGTTTATGGGTGGATTGCGAGATTTGAACTTTCAGTTCATGTCTGCTTAAAGGACTGTATTGCTGGCTGGGACAGCAATGTAGTATTCAATGATCTGCTTGTTAAGGGAGGAACATTCAACCTTCTGCTTATTTATGGAGAAAATCAGTATCCTTTAATGGGAAGAATTCAAGTTTCTGCATACACTACTTCTTGTTGTGCTGGGGCAACATGATATATTCAATCCTCTGCATTTTTCTGGCTAAGACTCTATGAATAAAGTACTCAATCCTCTGTTCTGCCGTGTGAGGATAATATGGCTACGAATATTTAAACCTCTGCGGCTCCACGTGATACCAAAATCTACCGTCAATGCGAGGAGGTAAGTATTTCATTTCAACTATGTTGCACTTGTCTGTGTAGTGTTTATATTTTTGACATTGGTCTAGTAGCAATGGGTAAGTTTTTTTTCTTCAACTTATGTAATTGTCTTGGGAATGTTAGGTCATTCAAGAATAAATTAATCTATGTTTGTTTTATTGTGTTCTAACTAAATTTTTAGGTGATTGATTCTTAACAGGGAAGTATTGCAGAAATCCAGTTTATATATGAGATCTTTCCCACGTTTGATCAGGTAAGTGTCACTTTCCCTTTTTAAACCAAATTATGAATTTAACTAAAGATTTTCTTGATGGATTTTGTGATTCCTTGATTGACTCCTTTTTTATTTTGATCAGAGAAGTGTTCTAACTATTCAACTATTAGCCTATCTTTCCAGCTTCACAAGGCCAAGAACTGGAAGTCTAGAACTATGTACATGATCCATCTCAGGTTCGACTTCTCCCTATCTCCCTTGGTGTCTAATATTGTAGTATTATTGTTTGCGTTTGATTGTCTTATTTGAATTCTACATCTGTTTGATCTTAAGAAACATAATTCCATATTTGATGAAGTTTTCATCTCTCTGTCCACATTTCAGAAGTTTTTGCTTGGTTCTTTAGGTATAGTAGTCCTTCTCTTTCCATTGCTTCTTTTTAATTTCCGTAGTAGTAGCATGAGTTTGTCTACTAAAGTGTGAATTTTCAGATTTGCTTAGAGAACACCATGAAATCATGTGATTCATGCACTGTTCATAAAGTTTCATATACTTGAGCCGTTGAGCGGTACTTATTAGGAATTATATAACTCATAGTTGTTTACTCTTTTATATATAATTTTGTTTTGTGCCTAACATCAATATCTTTGTGGCTTACTCATAAGTTGTTTATATTGAACTTGTAGGAATTAAATGAGACACCGGTAGAGGCTGTTGGATCATGTGGAAAGTACTATTTGCAGTCTCCTGATAGTGCGTTCGACTCTTTATTTGGAAATTGAGCTATTGTAGAAAGTGATCAGCAAATTTTGATCAGGTAAGTTCCCTCCTTTTCTAAGTTATGATGGTGTTTGTGATTCCTAGACCAGTAGAAGTTAAGAGGCTACTGCATCATCGTCTTCTTCAAAACCTGAGGTATTGCTATATAATACTTTTCTCTACTAAAGTTTGGAGCCTTTGATATTTTTAAAGCAGAGTATGACTATATGACTGAAACTTTGTCTTATGCCTTGTAGAACAAGCTAGTTGGCTTTTGCGGTGTACGATATTCTTGGATTTTTGTCTTCAGAAAAACAATGCTCTGCCTTTTTTTCTCAGGTACGTACGTTCTTCTTTTTCGAGTTTCAATTTTTGGTAATTGCTGGCTGCGTTTGATTTTTTTAGTCGGTCGCATGAGTTCATTCTAGGTTGATTTAGTCAAAATCTCAATTATGCCAACTAAAGTTTGCTTAGGATTAAACTAAAACCCAAGACTTGAACACAAATATAAAATGCTATCACAAACGTGAACACATACATATAATAAACACAAACATAAACACACGAACACAAATGCTAATGTAAACAAGAATGTGAATACAAACAAAAACTAAAACTCAAACACAAACACAAACACACCCCAAACACAAATGCAAATGTTCACAAATATATTAAAATGTCCAAGACAAACGCAAAAGTCCCAACACAAATGTAAATATTAGGTGGAAGCAAAATTCTAAGTGCAAACATACAAACATCACGTGGAAGCAAAACTTTGACTGCCATTCCAAACATGAGAAAAACCTAAATGGTTAATAACAAGCACCCATACCAAAATTACAAACGTGAAATGCTTAACCAACCAGACCAATTCATTACTGGCTTGGCCAAGATTAATCTTAATCATGCCAAACTGTAGTGTGACCCAGATGCCACAATACATTTTTTAGTCGCGGCAAATACATTATTACTACATTAGGATGACAATTTCATGTTTTATGTATCAAAATCGCGTAAAAAAAAGAGTATCAAAATATATTAAAAGACATAAATATCCCACAAAAATCATCCATCATAAAGCAGCTGACAAAATCCAACATAAAGTATTTCAATTAAACCTTCAAAAAAGAGAGACATAATAATTCATCACTATCATCAATAATGCAAGACATAACAGCTGTACTCCACAGTAGCATCTCCTGACTTTAGATCAAACCACATGGTCCGAGCCTCGACATAACCTCTAGCGAACCGGAAGAGTCCACTTCCTCCAATCACCGGCATCTCCCTAACCTTGGTCAACACAGCGTTCCGACCAAGAATCGTGATCGTACTTCCGTTATACTTCCCTGTCTTGAATGCAAAGTTCATCACCATAAGCGCAGACGAATCACGTTGACCAGTAGCCGTGTAGATCCCTTGCGCCTGTCCCACTAAAGTCGAATTCACCGCCACCTCCGTAGTTAATCGGTTGTCGATCACAGTGACCGCGCCGAAGAAGGAAGAGTTGGAGATAGGAGGGTTGATCACGACCGAGCTAGGGTTTGAGCCGCTTAAAATGTCGTGCCAGTAGACACGGAAATGAGTGAGTTTCTCCTTACGGAGGCCAAAGTGTTTTTTGTCAATGGTTTTTGCAAAGTTTTTGCCTTTTCCGGCAGAGACAACGGCTGCGAGAAGGAGAATTTGGGTGACGATGAAGAGGATGAGTTTTGCCATGAGTGGAGAATGTGGTATGTGTTATTTCTTCTTGATGGTCTCTATGTCTAGACTATATGTAGTAGTAGAAGACGATGGCGTTTGTATAATATTAAATATCTTTGCCACAAAAACATGGGCGGTATTATTATTATTTCTAAGTCGTCGGCGAACAAAAAAGTCGTACATGTAAGTATGTAAGCTGAAACAAATGATTTTTTTTTTCTTTTAAAATTTTCTCTCTTACTTTCGATATTAGTTAGTACCTTTCTCTCTAGTCTCCACCGAACTAATATTCCAAAAAAGACTAAGACTTGTAGTCTATTATTGCACTGTAACAAGAAAAAAGACTTTTAAAATTAAAGATGTTTACACCAACTTTAGTTTGTTTACTATTCTTTCATTTCTGCATTGAAAAAATGGTTATGAACTAAAATTAGTTTTAGCTCACACAAACAACTAGTTTATCATATGTGTCCTAGTTACCTAGCAAATTCATTAATTTGAGCTATTTACCATATTTAATTGACTTTTCTTTACCAATTGGCAACGTGGCAGTGCGTCACTGGCGGTAGAATATTATGTTGTTGACACGGTGTGCCGACGTTTTCATTTCGTCAGAGTCAATGTGTCTCGTTCATACTTCCATGTTTTTTTTTTTTTGATAACCCAGTATCCAGACCACACAGTGATCTGACTAGCCCATTGGGCCTAAGCCCGCGTCACAGGGATTTTTAAGCCTCCATTTAAAGGCCCCCTGATAAACTGGTGGTCTGGGGCGCCTGAGCAAGTCCGCAGGTAAATTCCCAGGTGGCCACAGGAGTGAGAGAGCGAAACTGCGTCTGGGGAGGATCGATCCCTGGCCTAGACCAACAGGGCGATCCTTCCAACCAAACGAGAACCACTCGCCCACCACCATGTGGTTTATACTTACTTGTTATAATTGACAAACATAATATATCATTAATTAATAAGACATGATGTTACATGTATTGGTTTACAGGTCCTTTTCAAAGTGTTTGGTGTAGTTTGAGAGTTGTCGTCAAACATTGACATCTTTTATACGTAATTCTACATAAACGTTACAGTTTGATAATTATTAACTTCTTAATCTAATAATAAGATTCTAGTAAACAAGTTCTTACGAGTTACGAAGTTTGGTAGTATATATGAAATGTGTATAAATAAATTTAACTCATATATAAAAAAAATAAAAAAATTTGACTCATATATAGGAGGAGTTATACAAGAACATATATGATTGTTCAATCACTCGAAATTTTGCTTTATTTTTCTTATATTTTTTTTTTCTTAATAACGAAAACAATTTTAGAGTACAACAGCGCTTAAGGTTTTGAAAATCTGAAATCAATCCATATGGTCGAACGTCAATATAACCTCTAGTGAATCTAAACAGTCCACTTCCTACTACTCCCATTGCCATCATCAATCAATACTCACAACTCTTCTTGGGCCAGATTAGCATACATCCATTGGTGGGCCTGGCCTACTTCAGTCGTCCCCATGGGTCTGGCTCATAAAAGAAAGAAAAAGAGAGAATTGTTTGTTTTCTATCAATGAATGGTCCCTCTTTAGCACGAATTGCAATGGGGATATTATTCTCTATTCTCATTGGCTGAGAAGTGCATAAAATTAGTCAGAAAAAAATCCAAAGTTTCCTTTTAACTAATGTTTTGGAGTCCACAAATTTCAATGTTTTCTTTTTAATCCAAAGGTCCACAATTCATCATATTAATATTTTTGAGAATCTTATGTTATTTATTATATAGAAAAAGACAATCCCTATAAGGTTAAAAATCTAGCCCTAATAATCTATTTCATATACTTAGTGCCGTTGCCGTTTCATCATCACTTAGATATCATCACCACCGTCGCCGTCGTTCACCCACCTTCGCCGTCGTCGTCTCTGCATCTCCCTCGCCGAGCTGCTAGCTAGTGTGGTACGAGATCCTTTTCCTCTTCTTATCCCCTCTTATTCCTCTAGAGATCGATTATTCGTCTTTTGCTGTGGATATTAGGTCTTTGCGAGATTGTTGGGTTTTATACTTGTCATTAGCTCTGTTACTGTTTGCATCTGCTTATTTCCAGCACCATTGATGATTCCCAAACCAAACATCCTATAAAGACTTCGCTTTTGATTATCTCGTGAGGTTAGATAAATATTGATTTGTGTATCTTGTATTTGTGTAGTATTCTCAAGAGGGATGGCAGATCGATTGACGCGAATCGCTATCGTGAGTGAAGACCGGTGCAAGCCTAAGAAATGTCGCCAGGAATGCAAGAAGAGCTGTCCTGTTGTCAAGACTGGTACTTTCCTGAGTTTTGAACACTTTGTACATAAAAGAACGGTTTTTTATGCCTTGTTTTGTATCTCTAGGGAAACTTTGTATCGAGGTTGCTCCTACTTCCAAGACTGCTTTCTTATCAGAGGAGCTTTGTATTGGATGTGGTATCTGTGTTAAGGTACTTATATCTTTTTACATTGAAGTCTTCCTCTAGTTGGTAGACATTGAGTGAGAATGATTTGTTGGTAACACAATTTTGCAGAAATGCCCGTTTGAAGCTATTCAGATTATCAATCTTCCCAAGGACTTAGCGAAAGATACAACCCATCGATATGGGGCTAATGGTTTTAAACTGCACAGGTTAGCTAATCAAAAGTTTTTGCCTTGTGAAATCTGTTTGATAATCTGTCTTTAGGGCTCTGATCTGTTTCTCGGCTTGCAGGCTTCCAGTTCCACGGCCGGGGCAAGTCCTTGGGTTGGTTGGAACAAATGGTATTGGAAAATCTACTGCTCTCAAAATTTTGGCTGGAAAACTCAAACCAAATCTCGGCAGATTTAATGTAATTATAGACTCTCAGAAGTTTCTCTACCCTTTACGTATATAATATGTCTATTCTGTAGTTTATGTATGATTGATTATTCTTCTACCTCTTGGGCAGACTCCTCCTGACTGGGAAGAAATTTTGACTCACTTCCGTGGTTCAGAACTTCAAAGCTATTTCATCCGAGTCGTAGAAGAGAATCTAAAGGTAGGGTCCAAACTATTCTTAATATTTCTTCTTAAGGAAGCAGCTCACTAAGTGAGTCTGATGCCCCTTGTATGTATGACAGACTGCTATAAAGCCACAACATGTTGACCATATAAAAGAAGTTGTTCGAGGTAATCTTGGGAATAAGCTTGAGGAGATGGACGAGAGAGGAATGATGGAAGAGATTTGTGCTGATATGGAGTTGAGCCAGGTCCTGGAGCGTGAAGCAAGACAAGTATCTGGTGGAGAGTTGCAGAGGTTTGCAATTGCCGCAGTTTTCGTAAAGAAAGCTGATATATACATGTTTGATGAACCATCTAGTTACCTCGATGTGAGGCAGAGACTCAAAGCTGCTCAAGTTATACGCTCACTCCTCAGGCATGACAGGTTTGTTTTTCTCATCTTCTGAACTCCTTGGTATTGAGTTTATCTTCCTGAATAAGATACATGTTGCTTACATGGGCTTCGCCGTTTTGTTGTTGTAGCTACGTAATTGTTGTGGAGCACGACCTCAGCGTCCTTGACTATCTCTCGGATTTCGTGTGCTGTTTGTATGGGAAACCAGGAGCATATGGTGTCGTGACTCTCCCCTTTTCTGTCAGAGAAGGAATCAATGTGTTCTTGGCCGGGTTTATCCCCACAGAAAACTTGCGTTTCAGGGATGAATCTCTGACCTTCAGGGTAAAACTTTTCCAGTGGCCTCCAAGAGAAGTGGCTGACATTTGTGACTGATATAGTTTTTTCTTCTCTTTCCAAGGTTTCTGAGACTACACAAGAGAGTGATGGGGAAGTGAAGTCCTATGCAAGATACAAATACCCAAACATGAGTAAGCAACTTGGAGATTTCAAGCTGGAAGTGATGGAAGGGGAGTTCACAGACTCTCAGATTATTGTAATGCTTGGAGAGAATGGTACAGGGAAAACGACCTTCATACGGATGCTGGTAAAATTCCTCTCCTTTGTTTTCTCTACTTGTTGTGGTTAGACGTTGAATGAATGAAATTTGTATCTTAATGCAGGCAGGCGCATTCCCACGTGAAGAGGGTGTAGAATCGGAGATTCCAGAGTTTAATGTGTCGTACAAACCACAAGGGAATGATTCGAAGCGCGAGTGTACAGTGAGACAGTTGCTACATGACAAGATTCGTGATGCATATACACATCCTCAGTTTGTGTCAGATGTAATAAGACCGCTTCAGATTGAGCAGTTGTTGGACCAAGTGGTAAAAACTCTGTCTGGTGGAGAGAAGCAGAGGGTTGCCATTACTCTATGCCTCGGGAAGCCCGCTGATATCTATCTGATTGACGAGCCAAGTGCGCATTTGGACTCAGAGCAGCGGATCACAGCTTCAAAGGTCATAAAACGGTTCATCCTGCACGCAAAGAAAACCGCGTTTATTGTGGAGCATGACTTCATAATGGCAACTTATCTTGCGGACCGAGTCATTGTGTACGAAGGACAGCCAGCTGTCAAGTGTATTGCTCATTCTCCACAGTCGCTGCTCAGCGGAATGAACCTCTTCTTATCGGTAATCTAACACTTTTAAGAAGTTTGAGTTATTAGAAAGGGATCAATCTCCTCTATAAAACCAACTAACTTGTTGTCCTTTGCAGCACTTGAACATCACATTCAGACGGGATCCGACCAATTTCAGGCCGAGGATAAACAAACTAGAGTCCATCAAGGACAAGGAGCAAAAGACTGCAGGATCATACTACTACTTAGACGATTGATTGATCGGTCAGAGAGAGATGGAGCTTATGCATACCTAAATCTTCGGAAAGTGAACTAGTATTCTAAGACTGAAACAATGCCTTTGATTGTTATGTTTGTATTTTGAGACTCCCTCTCTGTCTGCTTAAAGTTGTGACTAAAGCGTAAGTTGTTTCCTGACCCACTTACCTAGAAATTTAAGCATTCAAACATTGGAGATAGAAGTTGGAGGTAATGTTGCTTCGATGCATTAGAGCAAGAAAGCAAGTTAAAGGATTCTGAAATTGAGATTAAATGACGCTTGAGATTATGATAATTTTTCTCTATTAAAAGGATTTATTTCCGGGTTACTCCAATATAATGTTTGTCGTATTGTTCTGTTTTTGATTTTGTCAAAACTCTTGTCTTCTTCGATTTTTGAACCACTTAAACTGAATCATCAATGTTCTTTTGGTGATTGTTCGTTCATAAGAATGTCTTTTTTTTTTGTGTGGCTATATCTTACACTTGAAACGTATAATATTGTTTGATAAAGCTATATGAGAAGCTTTTTTTGTAACATATAATATTGTTTGCATGAATCAATCGTATGTCATAAAAGTATCCTAATTATATAAGTTATTTTTGGATCAATCAAACTTATTTTTTTATATACTTTGTTTGATTCTAGTCAAACAAACCAAGAGCTTTGTTCGAAAACACATACGATAAGAGAGACGTGAATAGATAGAAATATAGGTGATCATATTCATAGGGGATAGAGAGTCCCATGTCTCGAGCGTCCTGGCTTCCTTTTCCAATCTCAAATCCTTCAAGGATGCCACCGGTAGGACCAATTTGGGTATTTTCCATATTCCTCAGAAGATTCATCTCTTGTGGAGACAGAGTTCCTCCCTCTCTTGCTGCTTTCCTACGCTTTTCCCAATCAACCACGTTTACACAATGGCGTGACAAGGTCTGGATTATCTGTTATAGGGGAAAAACACAATGGTTAATTAACATCAAAACAAAGAAATAAGACAAAAAAAATTAAGTATCAAAATATATTCTTACTCACATCACCAAAAACGGGGAAAAATGGTGACTGAGGTTCAAGACATATATCTTCTCCACAGACTCTATGATTTGGATCTATTGTTTGTGTAGAACAAGTACGCGTCAAAAAAATTAGAGATTGTAATTATTTACTTATAAAAATGCATCATATTGTTTGATTAAAATGCTCACTTGGGTATCAAAAACCTGATCGATGGTTTCTTGGATGCTAAGGAGCACTGAAACAAATTTTGAGAATGAGAGTAGCTAGATATAATTCATAAGAGAAGAAACAAAAAAGAACCTAATTAGTTAATTACTGTTTAGGTTTGCACGTCTTTGAACAGCAAGAAGCATTCCCTTCACCGCATATTTTGAGTGAGTCACAGCTTCGGCCAAAGTCTCCGACATTCTTTCTAGCTGTTTCATAAGCCGTTTCCAATAGACCAACAATCTACAAAGAAACATAATGTAAAAACATTAGTTGATAAACTATATGATAACATTTAAAAAAAAACATATCATTAAATTTTAGTATATCATGATCTTCTCATCGTCTTCTTGATGCCCATTTTATAAGGGAAAATTTACAGCAAAGTTTAAAAGGTGAAAAAAAACAAATGCCTTTTTAGTTATTTTTACCATTGTTTGATTCACTTCAAGTTTGATCTCTTTAGAAACTTATGTGCATTACATATATCTATCTCTATATAGTATATATCTTAATGTATATACACATTGAAATAGTGAAGCAATGTCCAATAAATATATGCTTTTTAATTCGTAATATTATTAAAGTACTATATGGGAAAGAAAAGAAACCATGAAGCACTGTAGTAATCTATACCTAGTATATCTAATTTCTAGAAAACAATGCTGATGATAATGAATTTGAAGAACAACTAGCCAGGGCTGAACACTTGCATGATTTGGTTCGGTTACTATAGTTAAAGTTACAGAGTCACTATGATTATGAAGTCATGCTCTACAATAAACGCGGTTTTCTTTGCCTGCATTAGGATACAAGTTCCATTCTTTCAAAGTCTTAACCACAACGAGCAGAGAAAACAAAGAAGAGGAAATGTACCAGCATCCGGATGAAAGTCGTTTCCCCTGTACCGTTCTCCCCGAGCATTACAATAATCTGAGAGTCGGTGAATTCCCCTTGCATCACTTCCAGCTTGAAATTTCCAAGAGTCTTACTCATGTTTGGGTATTTGTACCTTGCATAAGACTTCACTTCCCCATCACTCTCTTGTGGAATCTCAGAAACCTTGGAAAGAAACAACAAATACTACTATATTAGTCACATATGTCCACCACGTCTCTATGAGGAGGCCATTAAAAAAGCTTTACCTTAAAGGTCAGAGATTCATCCCTGAAACGCAAGTTTTCTGTGGGGATAAACCCGGCCAAGAAAACATTGATTCCTTCTCTTACAGAAAAGGGGAGAGTCACCACACCATAAGCTGTCGGTTTCCCATACAAACAGCAAACAAAATCCGACAAATAATCAAGGACACTGAGGTCATGCTCGACAACAATTAATCACATAGCTACAACAAAAGTCAAAGCCATGTAAGCACCACATTTTTGTTCAGGAACAACAGAGAGATTCATTAAGATGATAATAAGATCAAACCTGTCAGGCCTGAGTGAGCGAGCGTATAACTTGAGCAGCTTTGAGTCTTTGCCTCACATCAAGGAAGCTAGGTGGTTCATCAAACATGTATATCTCAGCCTTCTTTATGAAAACTGCGGCAATCGCAAACCTCTGAAGCTCTCCACCAGATACATCTTTTGCTCTACGGTCCAAGATTGGGTCCAACTCCAGATCAGCACAAATATGTGCCATCATTCCTCTCTCATCCAGCTTCTCAAGCATCATCCTTGAACATCTTTTTTATTTGGTCGACATGTTGAGGCTTTATAGCAGTCTTTCATAGATTCAAGAGGCATCAGACCGCTTAGTGAGCTGCTTCCTTAGAAACAAATATCAAGATCAATTTCCACCTTACCTTAAGATTTTCTTCTACGACTCGGGTGAAATAGCTTTGAAGTTCTGACCCGCGGAAGTGAGTCAATATGTCTTGCCAGTCAGGAGGATTCTGCCCAAGAAGCAAAATAAGGCATAAAAAGTCGTTCTTTATGTACAAGTTTCATACTCAGGCCAAGAATAAAATGAGGAAAAGTACCAGTCGAACTCTTCTTGCACTCCTGGCGACATTTCTTTGGCTTGCACCGGTCTTCACTCACGATAGCAATTCGCGTTAATCGATCTGCCATCCCTCGACACGGATACGAACGTACAAGAAGATACACAAATCTACATTTCACTAGGAAAACACAACAAGTCTTTATAGAAATGATGTTGGAAACATGCATATGCAAACAATAACAGAGCTAATAACAAGTAAAACATATATCAATGAAAGTGAAAGCAGAAAGATGTCATAAGCTAGAAGCCTAGAATCAACCAATCTTGCAAGGACCCTAATATCCACAACATAGAGACTAATGACTACCACATGACCAGAGACAGAACCCAATCAATTCAGATTCACATTGATTAATTAATTAGCGTTTCTAACCAAATTAGAGATCCACCCATGAATAAAGCTAATAAGTAAAAGAAGGTGAAAATAAGAAAGGAAGAAGAGAATCTAGTACCAGTAGACAGCAGAACTAAGAAGAAGCAGATTCGATGAAGGCTAAAAAGGTGGCGAAGGATCTAGGGCTTTGGTCTTTGACTCTTTGTAAAAATGGTGGACCCGTTAAGACAAAAAGAACAGTCAAAAACATGTCAACTCCAAAACCAAAGTACAAGAGAAACTAGGCCTGGTAATTTGAACCGAACCGATTTGTCCGAACCGAACCGAACCGAGGTTTGGGCAAATCGGTTCGGTTTCTATATATTAGGTTAAACCGATCGGAAAGATTTAAAATTTTTTCGGTTAACCGAGATTTTTCGGTTCGGTTCGCTAGAACCGAACGGTTAACCGAAAAAGAAAACCCTAACCTAACCTAACACTAATCCAGCCACCAACACTCTTCTTCTTCGTTTTTTCTTCTCACCTTCCTCAGATTTTTCCTTTTCTTCTTTGATTCTTCTCCTTCTTCTTCTTTTCTTCTTCTTCTTCGATTTTTCTTCTCCTATTCTTCTCCTTCTTCGATTCTGAGATTCTGAGATTATCAAAAACCTCTCGATCTTCTGGACTGCGTCGAGGTTGGTGGTTAACGGCATCGAGCGATTCGAGGAGCACACTCGCTGCTGCGGGAAGGGCAGATCCATCCTCTCGCATCCTCTGTCGGATCGGAGATAGATGCATCACGAAACGGCAGATCCGCCTCTCGCAATGGTTTCTTTCTCCATTGAACGAAGTGATTAAGTCTCAGACTCTGCGACGCTCTGTACAGCCGCCGGAAAACCGCCATGAACTTTGTCGTCACAAAACCGAAATAACCGAAGTGAAAAAACCGACATAACCGTGTCCGAACCGAACCGAACCGAAATTGTTAGTCGGTTTGTTCGGTACATAATTCATTTTCCGAATAACCCGAAAAACCGAGTAACCGAAACCGAATTAACCGAACGGTTCAAAGTCGCAGGCCTAAGAGAAACTTTTCAATTCAGATTCTCTAAGAGCATCTCCAATGGTGGAGAGCCTCCCATAGGTTCTCTCCCATTTTTTAATATAAATTATGAAAATTTGTAAGAAGAGAGCTTGTGTTTTTTTAAAAAAAAATTTCATAGTCCAATGGTAGTATCTCTCAAGTGGGGTTCTTAGAAGAAAAAAAAAATGTGTTCAAGATTGCAATCTATTAATTACTTGGTAATATATAGATTCTTTTTGCCATTTTGAGCTTGATTTTCGAATCACGTTCATTACATAAAATAGCAAGTAATGACTAATAAGTGATGTATCCATTTGTGGTTTAAGTTAGGCTTTGCCTTGAGTTAGTAACCAAAAGCTGCAGAAACATTATATGGTAAAAACATGTCTCCAAAATGTCCAATATGCAATGAGAGAAGCAGAGAAGATGTCGACGCAAGAAACCAAAGTTAAGCTCGAAATCCTTCATTGTTCTTCTCTTTTGTGTTCTTGTACAAGTCTCATATACGGTACACATCATCTCTCTCCCCTTCAGCAGAATCTGTAGCCAAACACACAGAAGAAGGAAGTGAGAAAAGAACAGAAAATTGTTGTGTAGAGGGTGTAATATTAGACAACCCAAAAGAGAGTCTCAGACTTACTTTTTTCCCTGAAACAACACTTCTATGGTAGTACCTCAAAGACGCAGCTAAGTTATCGTTTCTATGGGCTGCAAATTTCAGAAAACAGATATGAGATTCAAAACAAAACACTAACATGAACGTGTAAAAGAGAAACAGTTTCTATTGGAAAGAACAACATCGTCCATGTTCACAACTTTGTGTCCAGCATGATGAGCAAATAGTTCAATGTCCTTTGCAACATTTTCTGTTACTCATAACAAATAAGCAAAACTTTCAAACAAAGCTACTATGGAAACTAAAACACTAAAAATAAGGTTTAGTCAACTCGAATATGAATTGAAGCATCTGCAAACAGTTTAGCAAACAAACATCAACCAAAATCATCCTAGCACACACCATGCTCAATAAACAGATACGTAAAGAACATTCGTTTCAATCCTGCGTCTTTAGATTGCTATTTCTGTGATTCTTTAAGCAAACTACCACATAAAGGCCTAAGAAGAAATACCCTACTTCACCACTGATAAATCTTAACACAAACCAAAAGATTATTTCCAAAGCATTGAAAAATATGTATTCCCCTGAAGCTAAATTAAGATTCATAGTAGCGATGAAAAGTTTTAATGAAATAATTACAACTTACAAAACTAGCATTGCACATTTTATTAATGTAAAACTAACAAGACCAGGATTCCTCTAACCAAAAGATTACTTCCAAAGCATATTGACCAATCTGTATTCTCGGACGAAGGAATAAGTGACGATGAAAATTGAATCCTCAATCAAATCAGCACAAATTTCAAAATCAAATCGAAATCCAGACGATGTTTCATCGAATGGATTCATCGAATGAAAGTGAGGAGAATCAAACAAAAAACCACAGCTTTATCACAAAATTCCTAATTTTGGTTGGAACTGACCTGTACATCTTGAGCATTAACATCGAGATGATCTGCGATTAGGAATCGGAACCTAGAGGAATCGAGATAAGTACCAGATCCAAGCACTCGATTCATTCTTAGCCAATCATCGTAGCGAATAATATCCCCCGTTGCAATTCGTGCTAAACACTAAAGGGACCATTTTTTTTTTTTTGGTGAGAAACACTAGAACTAGAGGGACCATTGACATCCAATACGGCCCAAATTAAAGAAAAATATAAAACCGTATAACCCAAAATTTGGGTTTGTTTTAAAATGTTTATAAAGTTGAACATGTTTTGCGACTTTAATTATTGGGTTGGTTACAACTTACAAGAGAAGAGACTATGCACAATTTAAAAGTTTAGCATTCAGATATTTAAAGACTAATCCAAGTCCAATTAGGCGGAAAAAACTCTAATAATCCTTTCCTTTTCTTTCTCTTTTTTTGTTTGACCTCAATCTTTTCTCTTTTTTGTCAACTTGTCAGCGATAAGTAAGGAAGGAGTATTGAATTATCATCACTAATCCTATTAAAAACCAAATGTAGTAAAGTCATACATAAAACATTGATTAACAAATAATTAAAAAGATATCATCAACAACACATTTAGATCGAATGGCTCCAAATCTCCAGCAAAGATTCGGTTCTGATACGACCAACCATCACATTCACGTTTCTCAAAACATTATTTGGATTAAACAACTTCAACATCATCCTTTATATACATTCTCAATCTCCTCCACTCTCTCAGAAAAATAAAAAAAATGGCAATCTCAGAGACATCGAGATCGAGCCACGAGCTCCCATTAACAACAGCTGCCGAATCAAGCAGAAACAAAGCAACCGCTAAGAAACTGACTTTGATCCCTTTGGTTTTCCTTATTTACTTTGAGGTCGCTGGTGGTCCATTTGGTGAAGAACCGGCGGTTCAAGCGGCTGGACCGCTTTTAGCGATTCTCGGTTTCCTTATCTTCCCCTTCATTTGGAGTGTCCCTGAGGCACTAATCACTGCAGAGCTCTCCACTGCGTTTCCAGGTATATCTCAATTCAAATCCGAATTAGACAAAGATCTAAACTTTATGTGTAGACATCGCTAAGAACACTGCTTTATCTATGAGGGATTTTGGTGAAAGGAAGCTACTTTCTTATTCAAATGCTAATGGTTGTTAAGAACTAGGGTTTAATTTGGATCCAATCCTGAAACTTTGCTGATTTTGGTGGATCAGGCAACGGAGGGTTTGTGATATGGGCGCATCGGGCATTTGGTTCTTTCGTGGGCTCAATGATGGGTTCGTTGAAGTTCCTGAGTGGTGTGATTAATGTTGCTTCGTTTCCTGTCCTCTGTGTTACTTACTTGGATAAGCTCTTCCCTGTTCTTGAATCCGGGTGGCCCCGAAACGTCTGCATATTCGCCTCAACGGTGGTCTTATCTTTCTTAAACTATACTGGCTTAGCCATTGTGGGTTACGCAGCTGTTGTTCTCGGTCTGGTGTCTCTCTCGCCTTTCCTTGTTATGTCGGCTATGGCAATCCCTAAGATCAAACCACACCGCTGGGGTAGCTTAGGAACCAAGAAAAAGGATTGGAATCTCTACTTCAACACACTCTTCTGGAACTTGAATTTCTGGGACAATGTCAGTACTCTTGCAGGGGAAGTGGACGAGCCTCAAAAGACATTCCCGTTGGCGCTTCTTATCGCTGTGATCTTCACTTGTGTTGCTTACTTGATTCCTCTTTTCGCTGTCACGGGTGCAGTCTCGGTAGATCAGAGCAGATGGGAAAACGGGTTTCACGCAGAAGCAGCTGAGATGATTGCAGGGAAATGGCTGAAAATATGGATTGAGATTGGAGCTGTCTTATCAAGTATAGGACTTTTTGAAGCTCAGTTAAGCAGTAGTGCTTATCAGCTGGAGGGCATGGCGGAATTAGGGTTCTTGCCTAAATTCTTTGGTGTGCGATCGAAATGGTTCAACACCCCTTGGCTCGGGATTCTAATCTCAGCTCTCATGTCGCTCGGATTATCGTACATGAACTTCACAGACATCATATCCTCGGCGAATTTCTTGTACACTTTAGGGATGTTTCTAGAGTTTGCGTCTTTCATTTGGTTAAGAAGAAAACTACCTGGTTTAAAGAGACCTTACCGAGTTCCGCTGAAAATACCGGGGCTGGTGGTTATGTGCTTGATACCTTCGGCGTTTCTAGTGCTGATTATAGTAAGATCGTGTACCTTATTTGCGGTGTAATGACCATAGGAGCAATCGGTTGGTACTTCTTGATCAACTACTTCAGGAAGAAGAAGATCTTCGAATTCAACGAAGTTATTGATGATCTTGACAACAATGTCAACGGAGAACATCCCAAAGTCGATGATCACAATTCATGATAGAGTTAAACAGAGGATATTATCAACCTGAGATAGGTTTTTCAATTCAATGTAAGTTCCTTTCTTCTGTAACATTTTAGGCTGATAAAGGGAGAAACTATATTGATCAGTGATAGTAAATTGTACAACACAATTCTGAACAGAGAAACTGGTTCAAGAAGACATCATATATGTCTTTTCTTCTTTCTTTTTTATTCATTCACACAACACAAACAGGAAACAAAACAGAAAAACAAGAAATCGAACTTTGAGGTCCATTGTGATCAGATCTTGGCGTAATCAACGGTTTTCTTTCCGTCGTGTGCCTTCCTGAAGAAATACCTGACGTAATCAGAGTACAGGATGTCTCTGTAAATCGGTTCCTCTCCGTTTGCAATCACCTCAGGTAGAGGACCAATCACAGACTCGGGTTTTGGATTCACAAAGATAGGAACAGAGATTCTGTTATTGTTACCGTTGGCTAAGACACGATGCTCCACGCTCTTGTATCGACCATTGCTCAAGATCTGCATCGCATCTCCGATGTTGATCACAAAAGACCCGGGAACCGGTGGCACGTGAACCCAGTTCCCTGACGCCAGAGAACGCACGTGTAGACCACCGATCTGGTCTTGTAAGAGAATGGTGAGAGAAGAGACGTCTGAGTGGCGACCAACACCGACAGTTAGGTCCGGGTTAGGGCAGATCGGATAGTAGTTGAGGTTGACTCGAATCGAACCCATAAAGAGTGATTCTTTCGTCTCGTCTAGCTCCTTCACGTTGAGATTCTTCCCCAAATACTCTAGAAGCTTCCTCACCATCTTCTTTGACTTGTCAATGTACTCTAACGTTTCATTCCTGCAAAACCAAACAATCAAGAATTCTATATATAAGTCAATGATTACAAGAGAAGAAAGATTTGATTTTGAAGTCATGAAATTGTGAAACTTACCTGCAGATATCAGGCCAAAACTGTTCAGCTTCAGCTTCAGAAACAAAGAAGAGACTGAGATAATCTTTCCACTCGAGAGCTTTCTCTGCAAGAGGACTAAAACTCGTCCCAAACCTAACATTCGTCGACAGAGAATTCTCTTTAGTGAATTTGCACTTCTCTTCAACAGGGAGATTGAAGAATCTGTGAGTGGCAGACTTCACGTCATCAAGAACTTCCAAAGGGACTCCATGATTGATCACTTGAAAGAAACCCCATTTCTCAGCAGCATCACAGACAGCTTCAGCGACTCTGTTCTCATCAGGGTTCGACATATCGATCACCGGAATGGCTTCGTCTGTTTCGTTGACGAATTTGTTGATGAGTCGTTCTTCAAATGGCTGAATGTATTGATCTGGAAGAGCTTTGATTCCTGTTTCTGATAAACCCTTTACACCATTTCCTTTGTGGACTACGAAGTCGGTTACTTCAGCTGGGTTTGAGAATTGGGTTGTTGAGAGTGTTGGAGCCATTGGAATAAAAAGATTGTTTGTTTCCTTTGAAATTGAGACTTTTGGATTTAGATTGTGTTGTGAAGATTTGTAACAGAGAAGAAAGAGTATTTAAAAGAGAAGATTGAAGAAGAGAATGCAATCAGCTTATGACCGAACAACCTCTACGGCTCTCACCATGCTTTTACCGTTTTTATTTATTTCCTTCTTCCCGCGCTTATTCCTCTATTTAAAAATATCCATTTGTATTAATTAATATTGGCTTTCAACAATAGATTTTGGGTTTAGTATAGTCAACTATCATATGTAACCTTAATCAGTTGAATCTTATTGGTTGACCAATTGTTTATTTAAGATCTTACACGATTTTATCAAAGTTTGATTTTTAGAGTGCGACTTATGCAAATTAATGGGGGTAAACTTAACAAAATTTCCATGATAATATAGACAAAGCGTTCGTCGTGATCTTTGAAAAAATCAATGTTTGAACTTTGAATGTGATACAATTAAAATTATATGTTGTGAGGTTGTTTGTGAAATTGTATGTTGTGTTTCCAAATTTTGCATACAAGTACATTAGCTCATCGTGATTGGTCAAATTATCATTTTACAGTTTGTAATATAATTAAAACCGTATATTCAAACTAGAGTTGATCTTAGAATCAAAATCAAAAGACATCTACTGAAGATAATTGTTTTTACTTTCAATAACTGTTTGGATGAAAAACTCGATCCAGCCAAATTCTTTTTGGAAAAAGGATATAAAAGCTAACTATTAGTACTATTTTCTAGGTGGACAATAACTAATGTGATTAACATATACTCCCTCCGTTTCATAATATAAGTCGTTTTAGGTAAAAGTTAAAACCACGCCGATTAAGAAAATCTATTTTTTAAAAGTTAAACCAATCATAAAGAAGACTGCATAATATAAATAATCATAAAATATTAAAATAATATATAATTTGCATCGAAATTCGAAAACGACTTATATTGTGAAACAAAACACTTTATCCAAAACGCCTTATATTATGAAACGGAGGAAGTAGTATGTTTCATGTCTGATTTTTTGTAAATGCCAATTGAATTAAACAGCGGCCAAAATTTTAGATTCATGTGCAGATATTTTAATGCGTTCAACCACCACATATTCCCGTTTCATAATATTTAATGTTTTAGAGAAATTTAATTTGGGCAAGCGAACACTATTTAAATTGATTACAAAATGCATATTATTGCGATAATTAGTATTCCCTCCGTTTCAGTTTAGTTGTCGTTTTAGGATTTAAATTTTGTTTCATAATAGTTGTCGTTTTAGGTTTTCAATGCAAATGTTTTGTGAAAATTCCAGTTTTATCCCTACTGTTTTAATGTTTTGGCCAATAAATTTTTTTCTAAAATATATTAATAAGGGTAAAAGAGAAAATTTAATGTTTTTCTTAATTTGTGTGCAAAAACCTTAAACGACAACTAAAACGAAACGGAGGGAGTACTAACTAAGGAAGGTCATGGACTCAAATGAATAAAATACCAAAGGTCACCGATTCATTTGTTAGGTTATTTTTGGATTGAACTTGTTGGTGAGTTCATATTATCTAGATGTTTTTTTTTTTGGACAAATATTATCTATATGTTTAATTTCCAGAAATCCAATAGGCAATAGTCTTTTTTTTTTTTGTCATCCGAAATTAGTTAAAGCTTAAAAGAACCATTTCTGAGGAATGTTGTTTACATGTTTACTTTTGTAAAAAAATTAGTTAGTGACTACTGACTGACTAGGCATGGTTGGTGGAGAAGAGCGACACTAGGCATGGTTCTCGTTGCGGCCAGCAATATAACGGGCCTTTTTTTTTCTTCACCTAGGTAAAATGGGCCTCTTAAAGCCCAAACTCTCATTTGCATTGACCGAATAACTCCTTTGAATAACTTGAGTGTATTACTTGCAGGCTTTTGTCAAGACCAAAAAGCCTAAAGAATCTAAGAGCACTTCCAATGGTGTTTCTTAAAAAAATCCTTAAAATTAAAAGTAATCTCTTACTAATAAAAGGTGCTTATTGAAGCTTCTCAATGTGTTCACATCAGCTTTTCTAAAAACACACTCTCAAGATGTCATATCAGCAATACAACTACTATAGTCATACGTGGCACTCTTTACATATTTTCTATTAGTGCAATATTTTCGTAATAAATGAGGACGATGATAGGTCGGCAAAGAGTGAACCGTTTTCCTCTCCCTCCCTTGCGACACAAAAGGAGAAACACCACAAGTTCACAACCGTTTTCTTCTTTGCTTTTCCGGGCCGCCGGCGTTTGCCGGTGGTTCTAGTTTGTTAATTACTTTGTATTTCTGTTGTTTGTAATAATTGTGATGAGAAGCTTTCTATTATATCAGATTGTTCTCATATTTATTTCCTTCATTCGATTTCTCTTCATCTTTATGGTGATGGTTGCTATTTTCTTTGCCGGTGATGTGGTTTTCATGGGACATCTCTTCTACTCTTCGGCAGTTATCCCCACACCGAAGCCCATGATTCGATGTGATGCAGTCTTGTTCTCGCAGATTTACAAACATACATGGAGATGTCAGGATTTGGTGTCTTCACCACCATTACAACTAGATCTGCTTTGGAGAAAAAGTCTATGGAAACCACCATGGAAAAAAAGGCAATTCAGGGATGAATGTTTAGTGACAATAAGCAACAATCTATGGAGGAGAATCAGAAGATGGATTATACCATATAAACAACAATGGGTTTTAAGCACAACCAAGACCAATGACATCTCATTCTATATGAGAGTTTCGATCAATCCGAAGGTTTTGCGATGTAACAGATGGATCGCTGCCTATGACTCTCGAATGCATTACCGGTATTTCATCACTAAAAAGAAGATGATTTCCAAGCAAGAAAGTCACACAAGATTGGCGAAAATGACGAAGATGATAAAGTACTTGACTAAGAAAGCGGCGCGTAATTTGCTTCATCGGTCTTTCGTTACACAAACTATTGGTTGTATTTGTAATCTCATTGATAATCATGTATACTCTGATTCGTATTAATAAAGTTTGTTTAGATGTTAAAAAAAAAAAAAAATGAGGACGATGATCATGCCAGTTAGATAAATTACGAACGACGAATATCAAACGAATCAGCTTCCTCATAAGGCAAAATCTCCTTTTCACGATATGAAAAAAAAAAAAAAAAATCAACCATCCTCACCTACGCTATCCTCACCTCATTGCCTCTTCCTTATCAGATAATTTTGATCGGATTAGCAATCACCTCTTATTGCTGCACGAAATGGAATTGAAGATGCAAATGAATCACATGAGCCCAACGATCGAGATTCTATAGGTAAGGCCCCCTCACCCGTCTTCTTATTATGCAAGTATCTCTTTTAGGTTTACCAAATAGGCGTCTGATCCCTCAATTACGGAAATTCAATCATCCAAAGGTTAGACCATTAACCTTTGTTTTCTTTATTCTACCTCTTAACTCCAACGTTTATTGAAATACTAGGTCGAAAAAATAAAGAAAAAGAGGTCAGGAATATGAAAAGTAAGAAGAAGAAGACAGCAGTGATAAGGAAGCAAACACATCCACTGATTCATGAGGATGTAAGGATCATAAGAGTATAATGAGGTTAATTATCCACAAACTTGCATGGTACCAACATGTAGTATATCTATTGTACACTACTTCACATTGATTTAAACTTATATGTTGACATTTCGAGATTGAGAACCAGTAACCTTATATATATTTTAACCCTACATATGTGGAAACCCTTTGACTCCCAAGATTAGGACTGGGAAAGACCAAAAAAGCCAGAATATTGAGCGTTCATGAGGAAAAAGCAAGAAGAGATGAGAAAGTTGCTTAACACCAATGCCTGATAGTTGGGTGTCAGATCACTAAATTCAAAGAACACAAGTTTTCATGAAGAAATCACTTTGAAACGCTCAAGGTTATGATGATTTATGTGGTCTACTTCTTAAGAATTATTATACGTCACACGATGTGGAACCACAATCAATAGAAAACGGGTAAGATTACTGGTTCGTGGTGTTGATCAAATTAAACAGTCTATACATTTTGAGAATGGTGATGCTAAATTATAGATCCAGTGGATATGTAATAGGCAAATAAATCTTATCATTTAAATGATAACAATTTTTTATTTACCGCCTGCAATTACAATTGAAAATCACCATGCTTCATAGTGTCAATGATACTTTGTTTACGTTTGCTAAAATTGGGACAATTCTGAGGTTTCATGTTTGTTTTGAAGGAACATGATGAAGGGTAAAGAAGGCTTCAACTTCTGAAGTTTACTGATGAGGCAGAAGAAATGACATTTGAGGATGCCCAAGCATTGCTAGATGGCACTTTTAGATGGAGTAGTTTTTTTTTTTTTAAATAATTAGGCTCTTTTCGAACACCAATTGTCATATTCTTATATTTGCAAGGTTCAACTAAATTTAGAAGGTCGCGAAACATAAGTGTGATTGGCATCGTCATCAGTTAGGGACTACCATACGTGTGTGCTAACATCCGTTTTATATTTGACTTCTTCAATCAAATGTAACTTTTGTAAGTGTATATCAAATGTAAAATATATATCCGGGCGTAGCCCGGACTAAGCCCTAGTTAAAATAAATGGAAATAACAAATAAAGTTAAGGATTGTTAAGAGTTGGCTATAATATAAAGATTGTTAAGACCACCTCCAACGGAGGCTTCTTAACAAACAATCAAAAATGCCTTACTGCAGGAGAACCAGCTCTTAGAGCACCATTAACGTTAGTTTCTTAATATAATTCTTAACAATAAAAAAAAAGAAAAATAATAAAAAGTTAAGAGAAAGAAGAGAGAGAAGCAATAAAAACTCTTACATAAGAGACATTCTTACAAACCTTAAGACACGTACAGCTGTATCGATGGTCAATTTATATTAAAAAATTAAAATATAATTGTAAAATTAAAATATTATTATTTTTGTCTTTTAAGAAATTTCATAGTATACCACCGTTAATCATGTTCTTAATAAAGAGTTTTAAGAATTCCTAAGAGCCGATGACGTGTCTCTTAATGTCGTGTGTGTATCACTAGAATCGTTTGCTTAACTCGTCGTTTGGAAGGTAAATCTCCGTTCAAACCCTAGAAATCGAAATCTAAAATCCATGACTCGTTATGTTTCTTAACACAATCTCGTTTTGCACTTAGTTATTTCTTCAATTTCGGGTTCGATTTCTCTGTTATTGTGGAAATCGAAATCTAAAATCCATGATTCTTTGTGTTTAGCTTTTGGTGATGTAAATGTACGTATCAAGTTTTTCTCCCCAATTTTGATTTTGGGTTCTTTGGGTTTGGTTGGATTTATCATTGTTTGCGTGTGTGTTTTGGCTCTAGCTTACTTTACAAACCCATGTATTCATGATTTCTTAAGAGAATTTGGAAATTGTGAAACATAGTTGTCAATGGTGAGTTCGATTTGGGAATCCATTTTGTTTGTTTCTGAAATTTCTTGTTAAGCTTATATCAACAAGTGAAGTTAATGTGGTGGATTGAGTTCATGAAGCTTAGTGAATTACAAGACAAGGCAAAGGTGCCGTGTTATTGATTGAGGAGGTACTGTTCCGTGGCAACAGGACTACCTTTCCGATTAACATCTACACAAGTTTCATCTAACAGACTAACACAAAACTCTGTTTTTGTATTTTTGTCACATGGCAGATAAGAAGTGAGCTTAATTGGAGAATGCCAAGCATTAAACCAATGGTGAGAAATACCCAAGCATTACATGTTTTTACATCTCAGTGAATAACTTTGCTTACCTTGCGTTTTACAGTATAGGCGCTGCGGTTCTATGGTAGTTTCGATGTGACTGTGACGGGTATAACCATTCAGAACAGTCCTCAATGTCAACTCAAGTTTGATAACTGCGTCCAAGTTTTAGTTCATGACATGAATGTATCTCCTTAATGTCACCTTAGGAAGACATAGTCTTTACTATTCGGTAGCATAGACTAGTATTTGGAATTCCCAACAACTGTGTTTCTTTTAAAATCAGTTGAATTCTTGGTATCTCGTTTATGATTTGTGTTTAGTTTTTGTCAAGATTGGTTTAACAACAAAAGACATGATTTCAAAATTTTAAATTTTAAGAACTTCATTAGAGATTCTACCATTGGAGTAGGTAAAAACTAAAAGCTCATGAAGAGTTCCTAAGCTTTTGATTTTGCAAATTTAGATTATAAATATCGGGGACTCTTACCATTGGAGATGCTCTAAGAGGTTTAAGGATTGTTAAGAGCTCCATATGTGTTGCTTTCTGATTGGGTCAAAAATATTAATAAAAGATAAAATAAAATATGCCTTCAAATCTCAGTAATAAGATGGACATTCGAACTCGAGTTCGTGATAGGACTATGCATCAACAATTAAAAGCTGATTTTGTTAAACGTATATGGTAAAAATTTGGTTTTTTTATTTGTATTTTTTATATGTTTTTATGTCTCGTATGTTTAAAATTTTTAGGAAATTGTAATATTTATTAAGTTTTATCAAATAAAAATATTTATAATTTTAATTTTAATTTTTCTTTTTTTTTTAAGAACCCACTTAAGGACTCTACCATTGGAGAAATAAATTTTTAAGGATTCATCACAAACTCTTAACTTTAAAATTATCATTATTTATAATTAAAAAATGTTTAAGAATCCTTTTAAGGATTCAACCATTGATGTTGCTCTAACACTTTTACTTTTGTAATTTCTTGTTAAACAAGAAACCAAATAAACAAATGAAATGCTGCTCTGTTACAGTAGAAAAAGGGGAAAAAGAATACAAAAGAATTTTCTAAGTCATCATCTTCTCTATTCACGCAAAAAGAATAGATCAGATCGAAAAAGAACTTATGAATGTGAATCTGTTATGAATTTGTGAGTGTAATATCTGCAGGTAGTGACATTCCTCGCCATAACGGTGACATTTGAGGCGTTTGCGTTTGCATTGAAGATGAGAAACAGAGTCTTGAAACAGAAGCACTTCTCGGAGACAAGTTCACTTGTTCGAGTGCTTGAAACTGAAGCTCTGATGGATAATCTCTTACACAACCGATTCTTGGTCCTGCACCTGTTGTCCATTTGCATGATAGTTGCTTCCCAAGTTGGAAAGATTTAGTTTCCTTCTTTGAATTGATCCTTTTTAGGATTGATTCTTCTGTTATCTTCACTACTTCACTCTCCTTGGTTTCTCCTTCTTTTTCTTCTCCTCTGGGTGAGCTTTGCTCTGAAGGCATTGATTCTTGTTCTAAGTCAAACATCTCTTCTTCTTCCTCTTCATCGTCACCCGAATCGTAGTCTTCAGATACTTTTGTAGACTTTGATCCCGCGGATTGGATTTCATCACCAAATGTGCTAGAAGATTCCATCTTTTCCGGTGTCTCCAGATCGCTATGCTTTCTTGAAATGGACTCATTTCTCGCCAGAGTTTGTTCTTCTCCACTTGGATCAACCTTTTCTTGAAAGGAAATGGTCCTCTCAGCTTCCAAATCCTCTTCCAAAGAATGGTTTCTCATATGAGTGCTTCTCTGTTTGTAAATAGAGAATTCATCTTCATCTGTAGGACTCATCTGAAAAAAGCAAAAACACTTATAAGAACACAATCCTCAACATAGCCAAGATCTAACAATGAATGAGTCAGTCAATCAAATATCTTCCTCTTACCTTTACATCGGTGATATCGACATTGTTCTCTCGGAGGAAAGAAAGAAAGTCCATGAAATTCTCTTCTGTAGGTTGATAATGTCCACTATGTGGCCAAACAGCCTTAAGAACACCATTCTCAACAACTAATCTTCCTGCAGCAACTGTAGCTCCTCCAGCTAAGAAGCTTGAATGTTGAAACGTACCCTTCTTCTTCTTCCCAACATATAACACTTTCGATGTGCTGAGCACAAAAATCCATTTGGATTCACTATCTTCCATATCAGAAGTTTGAAGAATCTCTCCGCTATGCTTGTAGAAGAATTTGCCGTCTTCCACAACCACCTCATAAGCTTTTCTTTCCATCTACACAAAACATAAACATGACAACAATAAGAAAGAAGTTCTTATGTCTTAATGCACTTGTTGAGCAGAGATAAAAAGGCTAGATACTAACCGGACCAAGGTATTTGATGCACTGTTGTTGTAGTTTCGATCGCGGACATTTATCCACAAGATTTACTTCTTTCCCCTCGCCTATATCAAGCCTGCAAAATTTGAATCAAACCCATTTCTAACTTTAGTTTCTTGATTTATGACAAAAAGTTCTTGCAGGAATGAAATAATGAGTCGGTGAGAAGGAATTACCAGTAGAAGAAAGGTTCTCTACTCTGACAATGGAGCCATTTGTTGTAGTAAAAGTGCAGGTTGTGTCCGTAGCGATGTCTCGGGTCAATCTGTTAAAACCAAAGTGCATAAACCAAGATCAGATTACGTTCAATCCAAAATTTGGGTTAAAAAACAGAATGAGACTAATCTCTGACTTACCGCTTCAAGCCAGTGTTGTAAAGCAAGCTTTTGAGCTTTTCCATTCTTTGACAATCCTTTACCAACCTTAGCTGCTCTAGTCCTAGCTCTAGACCACCTTGAAATCGCGGTTTCATGTTTCTCAATATCAAAGAAAGATATAGAACTTCTTTTCAGCTCAGCAAAATCCAAAAGTTTCCACCTAAGAATAGAGAAACAGAACAACATCATCAGATCACAACACAAGAAGTTTCTTCAAATGGAACGTTTTGAGAGTTTTGAGTAACTAAAATAACTAACCAGCTCTGCTCAACAAGCACAGCGCAATCAGCGAGCTTTCGTCTAGTACGAAAGCTCTTATAAACCTTCTGCAATTTAATAGCAGCTTCGTGTTTCGGATTCCTCGGATCAAGAACTGAGAAGTCTTTAGCAATTTCAAAGCCATTGTCTTTAGAATAATCTTCTTTGAAGACAGACCTGTTAAGTGAGATCATTCTCTCTAGCTGCATCCCTTTCAAGCTAACAGATTTCTCAACAACCATTTTACCAGATCCCATAGATTTCAAAATCGTAGGCTCTAGAGTTCCGTCATTGAAATTGACAGATCTCTTGGGAGTTTTGCACTCGTCGTCATCACCAAAGCTTATAGACTTAACCGTGACAGAGTCTAGAGCAGCTTCCACGTCGTCTTGCTCTGCGAACGGACAGGAGAATGATACACCCATTCAACAGATCCCAAATCGGAACCTGAGACGTGAAAACATGAGGATTCTGTTATTCAGAGAACAAAGCCCATTTTCACAAACAACTTCTGATCAATAGATTTCATTCAAAGAAAAAAGTTTTGAAGAAACGTAAAAATCAGAACTTTTTTCGGATCTGGAAAACAGAGTATCCCGGAATTATATCAGAAACCGGTTATTAATTCGTTAATGAAACACATTTTCTCCGGTATTTTAAAACACAAAAAAATACACATTTTTGAAGAAAAACCCATCAACGATAAGCTTTACTAATGAAATAAAATCAAAAGATTAATAAAAACCATTTCGGTGTAACAGCAAGACAAATCTTTAGAAAGAAGAAATTACTGAAACAGAGAAGAATGAGTGGGTGGTGAAGATGAATGAGTACCTCTGGAATATACGATAGGCACTTTGATTGATTTATTCCTCAAGCAGAAAAGGTCTTTGAGGAATCTTGAAACTTTCTCTGTAAGTTCTTCTTGAATCTTGTTTTGATTCTCTTTATGTTGTTGAAACCAAGATTATTCGAAAGGTTTCTTTGTTCTTATTTTCTTCAGCTCATTAATCGCAAGTTATTACAAACTCTTCAGCAATGGAGTTTTTATAGTATATAATACCATTCAACTCCAGAGCGACAAGAGAGAGAGTGTTGAAGAAAGAGAAGCGTCGATATTTCCAACCACGTGTTTGTAGCTACAGAATATTCATACATACGAGGTCAAAAGTTTCAAATTTTACTTCACCCAATTTTAATTACTAAAAAAAATCTATATACCATCATAAAATAACTAAGAATTTATTTTTATATAAAAAAATTACTGAATATATTTTGGACTAATGTAAGTAGTTTTCTTAAATATTCGTTTTCATAAAAAAGCTTTGATGTGAGCTAGTATTGTATTTTTTTTTTTGTGAGTGTCATTGTTTTGATTATTTACGGGAACGCGTGACTTACAAGTTATAGTTTTTTTAAATCTCCAAGGAAAATTGGTCAGTGTTTGACTCAATCCATTTTTGGAGTAGAATTTTAAAGCCAGTATAATATAGTGACGTATTTGCAGACGTGGATTTTAATTTGGTGAATAATACTAGCGTTGAAAGTTATGCATTTTATCCATATATCTGTTAAGAGGAAATAAAATTCAATATTAATTTCTTTCAATCATATACTACGATTTAATGAAATTTCCTTCTTCCTTTCGTGGCGACCCACATATTACTAGTCTACTCTATTCAAACAAAAGTGTTTTGGTTGGTTAATGAGAACAAAAAATTTGTAATTAAATAAGCATATAATATGGTGTTTTGATTTACATTTTTTAATCATAATGTAACGAGGCAATGGAACATTCAAGCTTTGCATATTGCGACACTTTATTGCATAATTTATAATTATATATCTGTCCTTCTTAATATTTTATTTTGAAATTTGTCGTCATCGACATGTATACGTTTTGGCAAACGTACGGTTTTGTAGGTACTTACTAATTGTATAAATAACAGTAACAAAATAGACACACTAACGTGATAATTATGTCAATGTAACATAGTAAAAAAGACATTCAAGAACTGAAATGACAGTCGAATTTGCATCTCCCATTACTATGAAGTTTAACAGGATTTATATGAAATAATTATATACAAAAAAATAAACAAGCACAACAAACATGGATATTTTTGTAAACATCTATCAATCTAATTAGAAACATGATTTAAATAATTATTAAGAGGTAATGAGTACCACATAATACATGCATATGCACTCTTTTTTTCTTAAAAATTAGATCGATAGCGACTTGTCTCCTCATCTGTCCCTCTAACAAACTATAAACACAACACCTTATGATCAAAATGCACCATTATTCAGCAACATGTATAGATCAAAATAACCAATTTTCGTACGTCATTTAACATTTAATATTAAACCCAAACTTCGCTCTAATACTATTAATAAACCGATATTAACCAAAACACGATTGCATTGGTTACACCACCGGTGATAACAAGTATTCCTAAGAAATATGCATTATCTTCATAGTCTATAATTCTATATATACTTGTTAAGTTGTTAATGACGATTAACTAAAAGTCTAAAAGTGAAAAGGTCACGAAGGTAGGTCAAATAATATCTCAGCAGTAACACAAAAATACATTGACATAACTAATCAAGCCGTGGTATATGTTCTTAATGTCCGTGCCGATTACCTCGCTAAGAATGCAAGAGCACGCGATTCTCTTTTTTTCCATGTAAACTCCTCAACACCGGACTGGTTTTCTCCCGTAGAAAACCGTCTGTTTCTAGCTTAAATGGATGAATTTACTTTGGTGTTAAAAAAAAAAAAAAAAGCTATGTGATCCTTTTAAATATTACCATGTCCTAAAAAAGTGATACGAAAAAAAATAAAAATAAAAAAAAAAATAAAAAAGTGATACGATGAAGAAAAGTGAGTTTGAACAAGAGGTCATATACGCGTAACTTTACACATCATATATATGTATCAACATATGTAGTGAGATACGTACATATATTCTATGGATAAAATTATAGACGTATGTACTATACTACTATGTACTTAATTTACTTTAATATTAATTAATTTAACTTAAAGCTGCCTACGTACGCCGGTACGCGTAATACTGGAAAAAGCGTAAAATAATATGAGTAGTCCTCTTTGAATCATTGTCTAAATTTTTAATAGTAGGCTTTATCAAAAAGAAACTTTTAAAAATAGGTTGTAGAATCCTTCGAAAATAATGAACTAAAAAGATTTGATATATGTGTCCGCATAACAAGAATCATAAAATCAATAGCTAGATTAAGCTTGGATCTCATCGATTTTATTCCCTTCATTGAGCATTAACATTTATCAGTATTTTGAAGTAAACAGATAAGTGAATACAACTGTCGGCTCAGATCTCAATGCGTGAATGCTGACAATAATAAACAATGCGTGAATTTGAGAGAAATTTACAAACTTGTTACAGATTTAATTAACATGACAAGACCAGTCCCAAATACTAGAGAAACAAGAATATGTATATATGAAACTAAGTTTTGTGGTGTTAACTATATTTATAAATATAATCCATATGAAAATCGTTTGAAAAAACAATCAACAATGAATACAATTCACTAAAACATGGTTACTAAATCACAAAATCGTGAACTTGGATTTCGTTCTCTTTATTTAGACCACAATGATTCACGAAACAATTTAAAACCAAGCATCTTAGATTTTGTTAGCATATTAATGAAACTATTTTAAAAAATCAATTCATTATACACAATATAATACTCTACTTATTAGAAAAATGTCATAATAGTTTGACGTAAACAAACTTAGGACCGTACAGAAGATATCGGTAAGCTCGCCACGTGTCGAGTTCACATTGAACCACGAGGGTGATGTCGCTTCAAGTACCACACCGTACCTAACGTGGAGACAACCGTATCTTTTTGACGGCACCCAAATTTATGATACTTTTTTATGTCTTCAAGAATCTTTAGATCTGTTAATTTGTAACTAAAGGCAATTTTATTTCTTTTTAATTTACGATGGACCAATAATATAGTTACAGAACCGTTTAAATATGATTGATCTCATCTAATTATAGTTGCTTCTGTAAAGTTCATTGGTCCCCAATTCAATGATTAAATATTTATTAGTAGTAATAAATTAATAATACCCAACTTGCATACAAAAAAAATACGTACAAGTTGGCTAAACTTTCTACTATTGAAATTATTGCCCAAGTAACAACTTTTGGAACTCTACTTGATTAACACGGCCTAAACTAAAAGGTAATTACCGTTAATAATCTAAAGAGATAATCTACTTTTTTTTGGATGAATTAGTGTTTACGTATAGGTTAGCGAGAGATAAAGTCAAAGGATGAGAGGTGGTAGCTTAACAGCGAAAAGCCAGCTGGGAAGCACAAGGATGAATTAAATATGCCAGTGAGGATTCTATACAAGGATAAAATCGTTTGATACATAATAAAAAAAAAAAGTGAGAGACCAAAAGAACGAAGCCGCTAGGTTCCAAAAGAAGACGCGGGGTTGGTGACTTGGTTCAGTAAAAAAAAAAAAAAGTGCACCGACGCGACGACAAGTAGGAGTGAAACGAACCACCTGTGTTTGTGGTGCACCGTCTCGTACTCTATTATTGTTACTTTTGGTTTTGTTGACCATTGCTGGATTTTATAGTCTCTTGTTGACTGGCTCGTTCAAAACTCATCTAAAGTAGCCTCTCTAATCGCACTCCTGTCTCAACGTGTGGAATGGATATAACAAATATTGTGAGTCCAAAAAGTAAAACTTGTTGTATTGATGAAAATGTTCCCTTGCTTCATTTATTGGACGGTAGAAGAAAAGACCAAGGAGTAAACCCCAAAAGGGAATTAGTTGTGGACTATGGATATCATTTAATACTTCATTACTCAGCCATCTACCTCTTATATTGTAGTATTAATCACAGATATTTATGGTTTCATTATTTTAATTATTTATGTTTTTACATGTATAAATGTTTTATGCTTGTTATTTGGACATTTATGGTCATTATAGAAAATAATATTGACATATAAATGTGTTAACATTTGTATAACGGATTACGAATCTAAAATAAGAAGAGATGTGTCATTATATTAATTGCCGATTGATGATGAATCGAGAAATCCATGAAATTTAGTATGTATATTAGAGTCCGAGTTTGACCCTATATAGTAAATTTTAGTTTTAATGTATGTTTCCGATCATATATAGTAAATTTGGTTCGAAATTAGATCCAAAGATCATAATTTCGGAAGAATAGTGTTAAGATTTTATTTCAAACGTTACAAATACCTAATTAATATAAAATAGACATTGATTAATCCATTAGTTATCTTATTCTAAAGCCATAAAATTTAACAAAATGTAAGCACATACTAAATAATAACTTATCGATAAATATCAGTTTGTGAATATTAATTTCCGTTGACCTTTTTCACACGGTTTTACTTGCAACAATAGACTTTTTCTATTCTAACGTCACTAGCATTTCCTAAGGATATTTTATTTTTATTGTTTTCTTGTTGACTTATGTATATTGTCCATATATACTATACAACATATCTCAGTAGCTAGTAATTGCCGATGGCGAAAATGTCAATCTTGTTATTTTTCTTATAGACCAAAAAAGAATTTTTACTTGTTAAAAATTAAGGTCTAACCTACGAACAAGTTGGTCTACTAGTTTTGAAAGAGTCAGTTCATACATCTCAACCAAATTACACGACATCATACATTTACACTTTTACTGGTTCAAATCTTTTTTTTAATTCTTAAAGAAATTAAATATGAAGTGAAACTAAAACTTGAGTTAAATGAAAGTTTCAAACTACCTCTTAACCCTTTGTGTTGAGGTGATCATTTACATAACACTTAAAAAACAAAATAAAAATATGTCATCTATCGCCATCATCAATTACATCATGGCCGTCCATTTCAACATGGGGCCAAAACATATGGTTATATCTTAATTAATGAGATGCTTTCATTAGGTCAAATAGTATTTTAAGTTATTAATAGCTAGTTCATCTACTTTGGAATATATATGTCATATTAAGATCTAATTTTTTTTGCCAAACATATAAATATGTAGTTTTAATATGTTGGAGGCCCAGCTTTATAAGGTTAGTTTGTTTTTTCCAACTCTTGTTTGAAAGCTTGGTCTAGCCGACTAATACATTTATATGTGATCTAAAGAATTATACAAATCTATTACTCAAAATATCAAGTTATTCTTTATATATAACGCCATGTTATGATAAATATGGAAAAATCATTGCCAGCTACACGAACTATACGCCAACACATCACCACACATGCAGACTATTTTAATGTTTCGCTAACTACACGAACTATTGGTATTACATACGGACATCCCTGAACTATCATCGGTTATGTGTGCAACACCATAACCATCATTTCCAAATAATATAAATGTCTTGTTAACTACACGAAATATTTCCTTTTTTTATCAACTACACGAAGTATTTTCATCAAATTTTTTTTAAAACTAATAAGTTAAATAAAACTATATAATATATCAATGTAAATTATAATGCACACATATATCAATGTAAATTATAATTTAATTAAGTGACACTTTTAAAAATTTAGTTAAATTAATTTCATATAAAATATATGTGTGCATTAAAAAATAGTAAATTAATTTAACTTAAAATTATAAGGGATACTGCATATGTAGAATTTAAACTTTAAAAGTTATAATGCATATATATAATTAACAATAGTGTATTATTTACTTTTAGTTATTTTTTCATTTTGTAATTTAGTTTTTAAAAAATGATGGAAATATTTCGTGTAGTTAACAATACATTTATATTATCTGGAAATGATGGTTATGGTATATAATTTACATTGATATATTATTTAGTTTTATTTAACTTATAGTGATGTATAATTTAACTAAGTGACTATTTTAAATTTTTAACAATTTAATATAATAAATATTAAATTAGTTAAATTAATTTAACTTAAAAGTATAATGCATTAAAAGTTATAATATATATATATAATTTATAATAGTGTAATATTTACTTTTTAGTTATTTTTTTATTTTTTAATTACTTTTTAAAAAAAAAATTGATGGAAAATACTTCGTGTAGTTGACAAAAAAAAGAAATACTTCGTGTAGTTAACAAGACATTTATATTATCTGAAAATGATGGTTATGGTGTTGCAAACATAACCGATGATAGTTCGGGGATGTCCGTATGTAATACCAATAGTTCGTGTAGTTAGCGAGACATTAAAATAGTCTGCATGTGTGGTGATGTGTTGGCGTATAGTTGGTGTAGCTAGCAATGATTTTTTCCATTTTATTATTACGCAAAAAAAAAAAACTAGACGAAGCTCTACAGAATTAATTGTTGTCAAAATCATGGGATTTTTAATGTCCCTGTCTTGGACAAAAAATGTCAAAATCATGACTTTATAACATTTTGATGAGGTCAGTACTTGCTTCATCCCAGTATTTATTGAACTTGAACGGCAAGTTAGTCTATGAGAATAGAAGTACTCTTAAAACAACTCTACTATATGAAGTCAAAACGTTAGAGTGTTTCTCAAGAAAATTACGGTCAAGTCAACTATAAAGATGATTTTATAAAGAACAAAACAACGAAATTTCAAAGTAAAAGTTAAATTTTGTAATCTTAACTTTTGACGTAGTCAAATCATCTTTTCGTTTTCAGCTACCGAAAACAAGTAAGCCACGAATATATCAAGACGTTTGTGTTAGTTATGGTGATGATCACCAGACCAATCACGTAGTTAATTAGTATTTTATAGTAATACTAAAATTCAATTTGTACAAATAAGATAATGATGATTATAAATAAATGAAACATCTTAGTTAGGATAGGTACGACCATGCACAATCCATGCCTTTCGATTCAAAAACCAGAAGGTGCCCAAGCCTCTATGGTCTAGTGGCAGAGGAAGCTTTGGTGAAGGGTAAAACTCCCAGACCCGAGTTCGATTCTCCCTGGAAACAAAAACACATTTGTTTGGGAAGTCTGTCAGTTGGGCTTTGGCCCAATTGGTTTACCTGGTAGTCAGAAATGCAGGCGGCCTGACTAACCCCTGGCATTAGTCGGAAGGCATTCCAAACTCGGATCAGGCAGTGTGGTGGCCCAATTCTACCTGGATCGGGAGAAGTCTACTCTGTAGCACCTCGGTGCGTTCCTACCGAAGTCGACCGGATCAACCGATAGGGTTTATATAAAAAATTAAAAAAAAAAAAAAAAAAAAAAAAAAAAAAAAAAAAAAAAAAAAAAAAAAAACCAGAAGGTGATAAGATCTAGAAGATAATCATATACATCCAAAAATTAATTAAGAGACTTGATTTGTTTAAAGACCACACAGATACGTAAGTACTACAGCTAATCGATATTAATCATGCAGATTATGTAAAACATGTTCAGTAGTTGTACCGATTTAATATTCAAATTGTGGTCTGGTTTAGCCTTTTAGGCATATATAATTACATGGGTTCATGAAATTTATTTTTTCCCCGACATATCACATTTGGTTACTAATTAAACACCAATATATTATTATTTTACACATGTTTTAACATTATTTTGATAAAGAAATCACAATTTCCCTTCTCAGGGTTAACTGTATATATCATGCCGTTATGTTCCCGCTAATTACATCATCTATCATTTGGAGCCAATAAGTATCCATAGTTTTTTCTGATAAGATATAAGTTGTATCTACAAAATTTCATCACAATAATGCAAAACCTTTGGACTACAACAATCCGAGACTGATTAAAATAAAATAAGGATATATAAAAGAGAAGTAAGGCAATCATATGATCATGAGAAATAAATTGTTTGATTAATATACTAATTCCAGACCATGTGCTTGTATTTGTAAGTTCACCATATCGAAATTTCAAAAATTGCATGAAACAAACAATTAAGAGACACATATCATAATGATACAAAGCTGGCTTGCACAACAACAACCTCAGGATATAAACAAAAAGAGCCATATATAGATTCAATGCAATGAATACCTTCCATTGACAAAAGTCCGATCCTCTGTCTCTTTCAATCTGATCTTTATAATCCATATTTCGTTTATTATATGTGATTCGTGTGTTTGAGTCTCTATGATAAGAGTTTTCATTGGTTCATGAGAAGTTCGAACAAGTTTCAAATCATAAGCCATTTCTGGTATACCATAGCTCACCTGTCATCGTCCGCTACTTACCTGTCACCTAAACGAAATCATCAAGCAATTCAGATGCATTGATATCTCATCCTCACCTACCATACTATTTTAAATCTTGATTTATAACCAAAAAAATCAAGATTACTCTTCACTTTGGAGATAATCATATATAGCTTCATGATT